TGATTGGTTTTGTCTGTTTGTACACCTGTCCCTTATTAGTGTTTGATTTTGTTTCCTATTTAGTTATCGTGTGTTGGGTCAGGTGTTATGTGTGATTGTTTTTTGTCTAGCTGTTGCTCTCTGTATTTACTCTCGTGTTTTGTTGTTTTTCGAGAGTCCGCACTGTGTGCGCTATCGTCGTTTTACGCACTGTGTTTATTGTGCGTAATTTGTATTTTGCCTCCCGGTTGGGTTGGCTGTTCGCCTGTTTGGTGCTGCTTTCGTTTACTAAAGTCTGTTCACGAACGCCCGTGTTTCCTTCGCTTGATTTCCACACCGCATCTACACTCAGCTACTGACACTAGCCTATGAATAAAAGTTTACAACGTAGGTGCACACAGGTCGAGAGAAAAATTGGAGTAATCAAGGTGACAGACAGTGACACATTCAATACCGCCTTGCACACTCTTGCCTGAATCTAGCTGATATAGGGTGTAATCATTAGTCCAACAGTTGCAAACGAGAGTTTCTAACAGAATCGGCGAATGAATACACCCCTGATCACATGCAAACACAGTTCAGTTTCATAGCCACATACAAACATTTTGCTCGTTGTTTAATTTCTTCTCGCATCTACGCACTCTCCTCCTCTCACCTTTTCCCTTTGCTTGTGGACACATCAGCTGTCTGTGACCAGGCGAAGAAACCTTACCAAGCCAAACCTTCATATTATAACCCCTAACCACTACACACAGCCTGCATCGTCACCATATTAGCTAACGTCATAGTCAACATAGCTACTAGAACTAATTTGTTAGTAAACCCGCTACAATAATGCAGTTACCAAGCAGTTTAGCAGTTACACATGCGGGCCCCAGTGGCAATAAATTAATACAATCAAAAGCTTACCTTGACTTGGAAGAGTTCCAGTGTTGGATAGCCATAGCGAGCTAGCTAACATAGCATCCCTCTCTGTTTGAGTAGGCTAAACTAGCTAGCAGGATTCGCTAGCTAAGTGAAAGTGAAAAAAATACAACGAAATATAGCTAGCTCTCTCTCTCTCACTTCTCCTTAATTTTTAAAGAAATTAATTTGTTCAAAACTGTTCAACTATTGTCTTTCTCTCTCTACTCACCACATTTTATGCAGTGCTAGCTATCTGTAGCTTATTGTCACGCTCGTTGACGGACGGGACGGACCAAGGCGCAGCGTGATATGCAAACATGTTTATTAACACGAATAAACACACAACAAAACAATAAACTAATGACACGTGAAGTCCTAAGGTAACACACACCAAACCTTATACAGAACAAGATCCCACAACCCACTAGTGCCAAAAGGCTGCCTAAGTATGGTCCCCAATCAGAGACAACGAGCGACAGCTGCCTCTGATTGGGAACCACACCGGCCAACATAGAAATACACATCCTAGAAAACCCACATAGAATATGCACAAACAAAGAATACACACACCCTGACTCAACATATAAGAGTCCCCTGAGTCAGGGCGTGACAGTACCCCCCCCCCCCCCCCAAAGGTGCGGACTCCGACCGCACAACATAAACATAACAGGGTAGGGGCCGGGTGGGCATTCCGCCTCGGAGGCGGATCCGGCTCGGGGCGTGACGACCTCTCACTCTCCGCCTCCCTGTTGCGCCCCTGGTCTGGTCTGGACCTCGGCGCGCTACTTCCCCTCTCCTTCCTCCCACGATACGCCAGGCCCTGTCTGGACCCTGGTGTGGGAGACCCCGAACCTGGAGAGGGGCTGACGTCATGGTCTGGACTGGAGCCGCTGACCAGAGCTGGACTGGGCACCGGTGGAGCGGACTGCTCTGGCTCCGGAGTGGAGCCGCTGACCGGAGCAGGACTGGACCCCGGTGGAGCGGACTGCTCTGGCTCCGGAGTGGAACAGCTGACCGGAACTAGATCAGGCACCAGTGGAGCGGACTGCTCTGTCTCCGGAGTGGAGCAGCTGACCGGTGCCGGACCAGGCACCGGTGGAACGGGCACGGGGCCGTGCCGGACTGGACAAACGCATCACAGGCTTGGTGCGAGGGGCAGGAACGGGCCGGGCCGGACTGGCGATGTGCACCACTGGCTTGGTGCGAGGAGCGGGAACAGGCCGGGCCGGGCTGGCGACGCGCACCACTGGCTTGGTACGAGAAGCAGGAACAGGCCGGGCTGGGCTGGCGACGCGCACCACTGGCTTGGTGCGAGGAGCAGGAACAGGCCGGGCCGGGCTGGCGACACGCACCACTGGCTTGGTACGAGAAGCAGGAACAGGTCGGGCCGGGCTGGCGACGCGCTCCACTGGCTTGGTGCGAGGAGCAGGAACAGGCCGGGCCGGGCTGGCGACGCGCACCACTGGCTTGGTGCGGGGAGCAGGAACGGGCCGGACCGGACTGGCGACACGCACCACTTGCTTGGTGCGAGGAGCAGGACTGGGTTCCTTGATTAACCCCCGCTCCTTCTGCTGCCTAACCAGCTCCTCTCGCCGTGCCTCTACACCTTCCTTCTGCTCCCTCTGAACCAATAGCCCCCGTAATTTGGTGGCCTCCTCTCCTAACTGTCGCGGCCTCCTGCTGCCTCGTCGTCCACACCGTGTGCCCCCAAAACATTTTTTATTGGGGTTGCCTCTCCACCCTGATCAGGGCCTCCATCTTTCTTGCCAGATCTTCTCTTATCTCCTGCCAAGTCCATCCTCTCTCCTCCTCCTCGGCACACTGCTTGGTCCAGGTCTGGTGGGATCTTCTGTCACGCTCGAATATGCACAAACAAATACACACACCCTGACTCAACATATAAGAGTCCCCTGAGTCAGGGCGTGACACTTATGCTTTCAGTACTAGATTAATTCTCTGTTCCTTGGGTGGACAACATGTCAGTTTATACTGCAAGAGCTCTGATAGGTTGGAGGATGTCCTTCGGGTTGTCATAATTACTGTTTAAGTCTATGGAAGGAGTGAGAACTATGAGCCTCCTAGGTTTTGTATTGAAGTCAATGTACCCAGAGGAGGACGGAAACTAGCTGTCCTCTGGCTACACCATGGTGTTACCCTACAGACTGCTGTTAAGGCTACTGTAGACCATTGCAAAACAGTGTGTTTTATTCAATTTTTTGGTGACGTGAATATATTTAGTAGTTTTTTTATGTTTCATTATTTTTATTTTTATTAAATTCACTGAGGAGGATTGTCTTCCCCTTCCTCCTCTGAGGAGCCTGCTCTGAGGAGCCTCCACTGAATTGAATTCCACTGTTTACACTGAAACTGTCTGCCTTAGGAAGAAGCCCAATGTGGGCAGCCCACTCAGTACCATTGATTTAAATATAAATGTCACTGACATGTCTACCTCGGATCAGCCTTTCAGAATAGCACTAAAAACACACAAGCAACCCAGAAAATGACTGAAAATAGCCTATATTAACATATGTAGCCTAAGAAACAAGGTTAATGAAATTGACAACTTATTAACATCAGAAAACATTCATATTCTATCCATCTCTGAAACACACTTAGATCATTCCTTTGATGATGCAGTAGTAGCTACAGTATACATTGTTATAGAATACAGTATATAGGAAAGATAGAAATGCAAATGGAGGAGGTGATGCCATGTATGTCCAGAGTCATATTCCTGTTAGGGTGAGAGAGGATCTCATGTCAGATTATGCAGAAGTAATATGGCTACAGGTTCATCTGCCTCACCTAAAGCCTAATCTCGTAGGAAGTTACTATAGACCACTGAGTGCTAAAAGTCAGTATTTGGACAATAAATGCTGGATAATGTATGTGATATCTACAGAGAGGTATATTTTCTGGGTGACCTAAATATTGACTGGTTGTCATCAAACTGTCTACTCAAAAATAAGCTCCAAGCTGTAACCGTTACCTGCAATCTGGTTTAGGTTATCAGTCAACCTACCAGGGTATTTAAAAACAGAACAGGAACTAAATCATCCATGTGTATTGATCACATCTTTATTAATGCTGCAGAAATCTGCTCTAAAGCAGTATCCACACCCTACAGATGTAGTGATCATAATATAATAGCCATATCTGGAAAAACCAAAGTTACAAAGACAACCTAAAATTGTGTATAAACAATCAATGATTCTTATTTCGAAGATATGAAAAAGATTTGTTGGTCTGATGTATGTTATGACGAACAACCTCACGCCACACTTGAAGCATTTATGAAACTGCTTCTTTCGGTTACTGATAGGCATGCGCCCATCAAGAAACTGACAGTTAAAACTGCCAAATCCCCATGGATAGATGATGATTTTAAAAACTGTATGGCTGAGAGGGATGAGGCAAAGGGAATAGCAAATAAGTCTGACAACATAGCAGATTGGCAAACATACAGTAAATTGAGAAATCACGTAACTAAACAAAAAGAAGAAGAAACTATACTATGAAACAAAGATAAATGATATAAAGAATTATAGTAAAAAGCTCTGGAGTACTATTGGTCTTTGTGCACTGTATTGATGTGTTGAAGGTACCGAACTGCCAGTTCAAGCAGTTGGCTCACAGATCGGACACTCATCGGTACCACACAAGATTATTATGTTTTATGTATTTGACCTATATGTGACATTTAACATTTACTGTATGTAGTTCTGTCCTTGAGCTGTTCTTGTTTATTAATGTTTTGTATTATGTAATGTTTCATGTTTTGTGCGGACCCCAGAAAGAGTAGTTGTTGCTTTCGCAGCGGCTAATGGGGATCCTTAAATCCTTAGAAAATACCAAATACCAAGTTAGTTAGTTTACTGTACTTGTACGGCCTACTCCAGTCCACTCAGAGACAAAGAGGACTAAGTTAGTTAGTTTACTGTACTTGTACGGCTTACTCCAGTCCACTCAGAGACAAAGAGGACTAAGTTAGTTAGTTTACTGTACTTGTACGGCCTACTCCAGTCCACTCAGAGACAAAGAGGACTAAGTTAGTTAGTTTACTGTACTTGAACGGCCTACTCCAGTCCACTCAGAGACAAAGAGGACTAAGTTAGTTAGTTTACTGTACTTGTACGGCCCACTCCAGTCCACTCACCCACTAGCATCCTCTTGCGGGTTTTTACGCCCACACAGTCCTGTGTACAGGAAGAGAATTTGGACCAGGCGGTTAGCTGGCAGTCGTCCTGGCATGGGAACTGGCAGGGCTGGGTTAGAGAGGGCATGGAGCTGGCGAACTTCAGACATGCTCCCATGTCCGCTTGACCCCCGTCCTGCTTCCAGCATGAGACAGCTATAGAAAGAAAGAAAGAAAGAAAGAAAGAAAGAAAGAAAGAAAGAAAGAAAGAAAGAAAGAAAGAAAGAAAGAAAGAAAGAAAGAAAGAAAGAAAGAAAGAAAGAAAGAAAGAAAGAAAGAAAGAAAGAAAGAAAGAAAAAGGAATGAGGGGGTGTTGGAGGTTGGTAAGGTGTGAGGCAATACACTTTGGTACACAAGTTGGTCACTTTTTACTAGGGGAGACTCACAATCTCATTTGGTTAATGCCCTTTGGCTGCATTTGGAGCTAAACACGGCAGTCCCATCACAGTCGATCAAGACCTGACAGTGTTTTAAGTGATGATTAACCAACAGTACTGTCACTGTGGGATCTGAAATGACTCATTGCGAGGTGGTGTGACTCACTACATTGCATTCCAAATTGTAGTGATCTAGTTAAAAGTAGTGCACTACATACAGGAAAAAAGTATTTGATCCCCTGCTGATTTTGTACGTTTGCCCACTGACAAAGAAATGATCAGTCTATATTTTTTTGGTATTGTCACGATCGTCAAAAGGATTGGACCAATGCGCAGCGTGGAATGCGAACATACTTTATTATATATTCACCACACGAACAAAAACAACAAAACGATACGTGAAGTCCTTGGTAACAAACACAAACCAACACGGAACAAGATCCCACAAACACAACTGCCCAAACGGCTGCCTAAGTATGGTTCCCAATCAGAGACAACAAGCAACAGCTGATTCACGTTGCCTCTGATTGAGAACCACCCCGGCCAACATAGAAACACATGAACTAGAAACTGAAACATAAAACACAAAACATAGACACTACACACCCTGGCTCAACATAAAAGAGTCCCTAGAGCCAGGGCGTGACAGGTATGTTTATTTGAACAGTGAGAGACAGAATAACAACAAAAAAATCCAGAAAAACGCATGTCAAAAATGTTATAAATTGATTTGCATTTTAATGAGGGAAATAAGTATTTGACCCCCTCTCAATCAGAAAGATTTCTGGCTCCCAGGTGTCTTTTATACAGGTAACGAGCTGAGATAAGGAGTACACTCTTAAAGGGAGTGCTCCTAATCTCAGCTTGTTACCTGTATAAAAGACACCTGTCCACAGAAGCACAAGATTGTAGACCTACACAAGGCTGGAATGGGCTACAAGACCATCGCCAAGCAGCTTGGTGAGAAGGTGACAACAGTTGGTGCGATTATTCGCAAATGGAAGAAACACAAAATAACTGTCAATCTCCCTCGGCCTGGGGCTCCACGCAAGATCTCACCTCGTGGAGTTGCAATGATCATGAGAACGGTGAGGAATCAGCCCAGAACTACACGGCGGATCTTGTCAATGATCTCAAGGCAGCTGGGACCATAGTCACCAAGAAAACAATTGGTAACACACTACGCCGTGAAGGACTGAAATCCTGCAGCGCCCACAAGGTCCCCCTGCTCAAGAAACCACATATACAGGCCCGTCTGAAGTTTGCCAATGAACATCTGAATGATTCAGAGGAGAACTGGGTGAAAGTGTTGTGGTCAGATGAGACCAAAATCGAGCACTTTGCCATCAACTCAACTCGCCGTGTTTGGAGGAGGAGGAATGCTGCCTATGACCCCAAGAACACCATCCCCACCGTCAAACATGGAGGTGGAAACATTATACTTTGGGTGTGTTTTTCTGCGAAGGGGACAGCACAACTTCTCCACATCAAAGGGACGATGGACGGCGCCATGTACCGTCAAATCTTGGGTGAGAACCTCCTTTCCCTCAGCCAGGGCATTGAAAATGGGTCGTGGATGGGTATTCCAGCATGACAATGACCCAAAACACACGGCCAAGGCAACAAAGGAGTGGCTCAAGAAGAAGCACATTAAGGTCCTGGAGTGGCCTAGCCAGTCTCCAGACCTTAATCCCATAGAAAATCTGTGGAGGGAGCTGAAGGTTCGAGTTGCCAAACGTCAGCCTCGAAACCTTAATAACTTGGAGAAGATCTGCAAAGAGGAGTGGGACCTGGTGGCCAACTACAAGAAACGTCTGACCTCTGTGATTGCCAACAAGGGTTTTGCCACCAAGTACTAAATCATGTTTTGCAGAGGGGTCAAATACTTATTTCCCTCATTAAAATGCAAATCAATTTATAACATTTTTGACATGCGTTTTTCTGGATTTTTTTGTTGTTATTCTGTCTCTCACTGTTCAAATAAACCTACCATTAAAATGATAGACTGATCATGTCATTGTCAGTGGGCAAACTTACAAAATCAGCAGGGGATCAAATACTTTTTTCCCTCACTGTAGAGAATAGGGTTACATTTCATATTCACTGTCTCCGGTTCTCTCAGTTAGTAACACACACAGAGGCGAGAACAACTGTAAGTGATGAAACTGAACGTAGTGTAATGTCTATTGACTTTCCCACCCAAACAGACTGAACAGATAGCATTGAGTGAGGAGGAGCAAGAGCTCTGTCTTGAATTGTCTCTCCCCCTGCGTCAATGTTTACACAGATACCATTACAGGTAATGGGGCCTAATGTGGAGAGTGAAGAAGGAGGTTGAAAGGTGCTCATCATCTGATCAGATAATGGTATTCTACTTCAAGATGCTATTAGAGGTCTGGTGCAAGGAGTGGAAGAAAAACTCTTTGCCCTCAATTCACTAACTTCCGCCATTTTGTAAATCGAAGTCAGATAGATGCATTGTTGCCACGCTATGTCAAGCTCGTCGAGCTCAACACAAAGCAATCCACCGGAACTTACATTTTGTGTTTTAACCTAAATTTAACTAATTCACGCCTGGTAGGGCTAGAGGGAAGAGGTTTGGATAGACGATTTGGATAGAGGTTATTTAACCTTCACATCCTCCTTTGAGTCCCAGCGTAACATTTAGAAGGAGATTAAAGATGGACGCAGCCCAAGGTGTTACTTTGATGCCCAGCTCCCCTTCTCACATGCTCTAATCAGGGTGCTTGACCACATCAACAATCCTACACACTTCCACAGTCACATGCATAGTACCATGCAAGTTAAATCAAGTGCATATAAAATATTTGAAAGTATTTCACAGACTATATGAATGTGACTGGAGTCTGAACCCTCAGAAGGGTCTATATCTACCTGTATCCAATAGTTACCAGATTATAGGTAGTCTCTCATGACTGTAAAGTTCAAAACCATGAAAAGGAAAAACCCAAGTAGGCCAAGATGCAAAAATAATATACTTAATTTAATCCATGGTCAAAAGAATATAAAAAAAAAGGTCTCTCATGACAAAAGTATTTTCTTATACTTCCGTCAGTTCAGATTTGAACACTTCGCCCCCAGAATCAAATTGAGTAGATAGTGCATGCAGGATTTTGTTGCTCACCTCTAGCCTGCAGCCCAGGCCCACAGGTCTCCACAGCTCCAGGACTGTCCTGACGAACGGACCAGGGAACCAACTGGCATCGCCGCCACTTGTGTGTCTTCCACCTGCAGTACAAGAAACAGGACACAGCTGAGTCATTTTGAGAGCCATAGTCGAAGTCTTGTTCTAGTTAACTTGGCACCACTTTAGTCAAAAGAGACTACATATCGAGCAGAGTGGTCTTGATGGGTGATGGAGCCTTACCTGTATCCCAAACAGACAGACGGCGCCTCACAGTCTCTTTCCTGAGTCAACACCTCCGGGCACTCCTGTCCCCCATTGGCAGGCAGCTGGATGATGATGCGTTTCCTGTTTTGTTTCCTTTTCGTGTTGCCACCTTAAAAGAACCCATAGAAAAACACTTTATTCACACACTGTCCCAATCAATAGACAGGCACAATAACAGCAGTAATCAAGCAACTTCCATCAGCTCTAGAAGTGGAAAATTATCATGATGAATGCCTGTTATCTACTTGAGTAATTGCAAATCACAGGTCCTTGAAAATGTCCTTGTAAAACAAGAGTGTTTTGTTTGCTGTTTACTTTTAGCAGCTGTGTGTCATTAACCTTGACCATGAAGAACACGAAGACATAATGAAGGAGCACAGTTGGTTCCCAGCTCTCTAGTCTGGTGTTCTCCAGCAGATATGTACTTTCCTGACCAGTTCTGAGAGAAGGTAATGAAATCAAGTTTGGTATATTGATTGATATGGGCTTCCCTTCTCTGCTGGTGTCCACCCACCTCACTGATTGGGTGGTGGAGGTTATATTGCCCTTACAAGAAGTCCATCAGAATCCATTTGCGGTGGCCATGTCCATGTTGCAATGTATGATCCATAGAGGTAGCTAGCTACAGGAGATAGATACTATATTAATATGGTAGGATATTCTGTTATCTTGACAGCTGCGATGGTTCTCATAGGAGAATGACAAATCCATTACCAAATACTCCTAGTAAAGCCAGATGATCTGGGTGCCCAACGACTGTTCTTTAGACTAAGTGTTGCTTAGCAGATGTTTCTGGAGAGTAGTCATGTCAAGTATTTCATGAATATAACACTCACTCCAAGGAAATGGAAATCACATAAACATGTATGCTAACAAGCATTTTCTAGCTGACAAAGAGGTTGTTGCAGTGCGGGCAAATCGCTTTAAATTGGCCAGGCACTTTCTGCTTATTAGCGGCATTTGTTCTAGTTCTTTATATAGAAGGATGTTGTCAAGCATCAATGCGTGTTTGTTGGTTGCTGTTCTAGGATGTCACAGCTCCTAAGTGAATTACAGTTTTGACTTGATGATTCTCTCAGCTCGAACTGCAATATTTGAAGAGAAATAATTGTATAATTGTGCAAGTGTTTTGTTTATCAGATTTGTCCGTTTGTCGGGGCTGTCGAAACCAGGAAGCAAACACTTAACGACAGACCCACTATTATTTAGAATTCCCTGTTGTAATTAATTCCTTCACATGCTTTGAAGCACATGCTCATTTCAAAACCATATGGCATAGGCTCCATTTCTTGAGCATTTTTGCCTTGGACAGACTGCTCTGTATTTGTATGTACTGTATTGCATACTTGACAATAATAGGATGTACCTGCTTGGCATATTGTACATCTCTTGACATAGTTGCATTTTTTCAAATGATGTGTACTTGAGTGAGTTGAGAGGCTGTACATTGTTTTAATAGCTGTGTATCCTTGAGAATATTGAGAAGGCTAGTAGGTACCTGCTTTGCATGTGGCAGGGCAGGCACTCCAGTCGCTGTAGGGGGTGACGATGCAGTCTCTTTTACATGGCAGGAGGCAGGGCCTGACCGTCTCAGGACGAATACTCTCCGGACACCTGAAATCACATCATCTAGATGTGTCAAACTCATTCCACGGAGGGCAGTGTCTGCGGGTTTTTCGCTCCACCCTTGTACTTGATTGATGAGTTGATGAATGTGTAGAGATGTGTGCGTATACCGCTTATGTTTATGAATGCATATTTGTCTTGTCAAAATAATATAACTGTTTACGGTACACAGTATATCAATACCGGGTCATTGGTCTAAGGAATACTGCAGGGATTCTCCCAGTATATTATGAATCACTGGTTTTAGGGCTTCAGATTGAGCCCCTCTATTGCTTTGAACATCATATTGCCTCTGTAACAGTGCTACATTGTTAACTCATTAATGTCCTGATAAATGGTAATGAACTCATAAGTATATCATACCGTTCATTCATGACATTATATGATTTCATTATTTGATATTATGATATATTAATATATCGTCCCACACCTAGTGGGTCCATTAGTTTAGTGATAGTAGTTTAGCAGTTGTGGCAATTTGACACCACAAATAAACCCTATCAATGTTCATGTGTGTGAGTCCCAGAGCAGCATGGTGCGATAGTGTGTAGTGGTAGCTGGGTAAAATAAAACCCTGGATGGGAGAATCATAAACCTCAGGAATAAAACTGTCCAGGGTTCATTACCATACCCAGCGTGGGACCTAGCTCATCCCCAGTCTGTCTAGTAGCTCCAGCTCATCCTACCAGGATAATGCTACTATTAAAGCTGAATAAATAAATAGCTAATTCATTATTATAATTCACTTTCCCCTGAAGATACCCTTAGGGTGGTAGGGATGGAGAACCCAGATGCTTTAGAACAACTGTCTGGAACCTAGGCAGAAACCCATCAAGGAACCCATCAGCTCACAGCTACGCAGCCAGACAGACAGTGGAAACAATAGGATATTGTTTCTTCCACAGATAGATGCTGGGTCAAAGGCTCTGTGCTTTCGTGCTTTGATTTATGCTTAGCAAAGGCTTATGGAACCCTGAATACATATTACACCACATCAGCATAAGTATAACCGCTCTACTCACATTTAATTTATTTAATTTCCTCTATCACGTTACACAAATATTATAGTCATATACTACTTATATTGGTATTCAGTCATCTCGTTGAAGGAAGAACTCATACTCTAAGACTTTGGGTCTTTGAAAAGCGCTATGTAAATACCATGTATTATTATAATTCTTACTTTGAAGATATAACTCTTACTTTGAAAAAGGAACTCTTATTTTGAAGGAAGGACTCTTACTTTTTGGGAGGCACCTGTCCCACATTGACCCGGACACAGATGACCTTCCGCGTCTGCATCCCCACAGAGCAGGAGGAGTCCCCTCCCCTGACCCCGACCCCGGCCCCTGTGGAGTTGGCAGGGGGGACCGAGGTGTCCTCGATACACTGTCCCCAGGGCCCTGTCTGCCAGTGGTACACAGTACAAGGGTGGTCGTTGCAGCTCCGCACCTCCTGGAGAGCAATGCTGTTGGGGCACTGGACCACGCCTGTCAAACACACAACAACCAAATGGTCAATCAATCAAATATACTGTATTTATAAAACACTACAGCAGTTATCAAAAAGACCCCAAAGAGGAAGCAGAAACACAAACATCACATTCAAATGCAAGAGATACCTCTCAGTTACATGAATGTGGTTTGCCTTGACTGTAGAAGGTCTCTGACCATAAAAATCATGCAGAGGTGATATTGTGTGGGAGTTATCTTTTCTTACATCCTTAACAATGAAGAACCTCCTTTCCCTCCATATTATGTCACAGAGCTCTCTAAGACACCGTCCCTGAAACCTTCACGTCATGTAAAACAAGGCGAACTCTCCATACCGCTGTTATTTACTGAACTGTAACTTGTGGGTTTGGCTACCTTAGCTAATTCTTTGTCTCATTATGAGAGTGTGTCCTAACATAGCCTGTTGTAATTATTACTTAGGCATACTCTACAGGCTCAACCCACTTCTCCCTGAAATGGAATTACCCAGTCATTTCTATTCTGCTATTTTCTCCAAATGACTGTAAACTGCTCTCTCTACTCCCTGAGAGCCTAACTTGAGATCATCACACCACTTGAATTTTGGCACAAGGCTCAAATTGACACCAATCCATCATTTACGCAGATCTCAAGTTATGATTTGGGCCTGAATTGGGAGGTCCTCAATCAGCATGTGTGATAGCAGATAGCTAGTAGAGCTGAGTCTGTAGGACTTCATGCTACACTCAGCCCACACCTGGCGTCTGACACACGCACACACAGACACACACACAAACTCGCAGCACACACCGCTTGTGATTTATCCTGGACAGTGTGTCTGTCTGCTGAGGTGTAGGAAGGCTAATAAATGAAGCGAGGCATTCAGCCTGATTCTGTTTCTGCAGTGATGACAGCGTGACTATCCTCCCCATGCCAGAGCATATCAGTATCCATTTAGAGAAATCCATAATGTAGAAAGTCTCTCTCCTGAGTGGGTATTTTGAATATGCCACAGACACTGTCTTGCTATGGTCCAATGGAGGATATCAACAAGAGCTGTAGCAGTGCTATACAATGGGCTACAACATGCTGATCTACTGCAAGGCGATGACACAGCTCAGTGTGGGTTGTATAGAGATGGGTTCTCAGGGCGTGACTGGCAGCTTGGACGGTAAGAATCTAACCCAGAGGCACTTGTTCCATTACCGACAAGACTCCCCCTTCTACACTTCTCCTCTCCTCAGGGTTTCAGTCTTCTCTCCTTAAGGTTTCAGTCTCCTCTCCTTAGGGTTACAGTCTCCTCTCCTTAGGGTTTCAGACTCCTCTCCTTAGGGTTTCAATCTTCTCTCCTTAGGGTTTCAGTCTCCACTCCTTGGGGTTTCAGTCGCCTCTTCTTAGGGTTTCAGTCTCCTCTCCTTAGGGTTTCAGACTCCTCTCCTTAGGGTTTCAATCTTCTCTCCTTAGGGTTTCAGTCTCCACTCCTTGGGGTTTCAGTCGCCTCTCCTTAGGGTTTCAGTTGCCTCTCCTTAGGATCTCAGTCTCCTTAGGGTGTCAGTCTCCTCTCCTTAGGGTTTCAGTCAGCTCTCCTTAGGGTTTCAGTTGCCTCTCCTTAGGATTTCAGTCAGCTCTCCTTAGGGTTTCAGTTGCCTCTCCTTAGGATTTCAGTCACCTCTCCTTAGGGTTTCAGTCGCCTCTCCTTAGGGTTTCAGTTGCCTCTCCTTAGGATTTCAGTCTCCTTAGGGTGTCAGTCTCCTCTCCTTAAGGTTTCAGTCTCCTCTCCTTAGGGTATTAGGCAGCACTTAACACTAACGAATGCTCATTACTAGCACGGCACTGTTGAGAGTCTGTAAATGTTTTACATAGTACAGGCATGAAATTATGCTGACCAGGCAGTGAGGGAAATAGATTGGTACCCAGGTAGCCATACAGTATATCAACTACATACATCTACTTATAACATCTACAGAGCTGAATAACTACATCAATGGGAACACTGCATTCTAAGAGTATAGGAAATGATAGTACCGAAGAGTGCAGGAACCTTGGGCACCCGCGATAGACCTTAAAGGAAGGTAAATGCAAAGTTATGCATTTGTATTACCATTCATACATTTGTGAAAGGTGCTATAAAGAATACTAAGCACTAGGGCTCTAAGCACTTCACACTTCACACTCAGACGCTTTGAACCTAAACATTGAAAATGTAGCTCCAGAGAGTAGTACAGACATCTATCCTAAAGTTTCCAAGCTTGTTATTCCTTGTGACTATGCCACATCACAGAACCTTACCCTGCATCACAGTAACCCAGGCTACAACCTGAGCAGTCGCTGTGGAGGAGGAACATACAGAATAATTTATAAAATATTGACAATTTGGCTCATGGAACATAGAAGAGAGACAGAGAGAAGCAAAGACTGAGGGTATGGTGAAATGCTTGCTTCAGCAGCCTCATATAAGATATCAGATACTCTCCTGCATGCTGTGCAGAACTGGGATCAAATGGGGGAAAAAAATCTTCTTTCAAATACTTTGATCGATCTCATCTGGTGCAACAGAACCAATAGAAAAGTGCAAACCCTGCCCATATGGCATGCACTATTGGCAGACTCCATCAAACGCTCAACATACTTGAAAGAAAACAGATACTATTTGAACCCCCGGTCTGATGCTGTGTGGCCTGGTCCCAGATACGTTAGTGTGGTCTTGCCAACTCCCATAGGTCAACTCCTATGTTAGGCATGACAACAACCATAGGAGTTGGCTCTACTACACAAACAGATCTGGGACCAGGTCTGACGCTGTGTGTTGTGTGATTGTGGTCTCACCTTCCCCAGCATTGTAGGCCAGTACTGAGCGTGCTCTCATCTGTCTTCCCTCAGTGTTCTTCCCGGAGCAGGTGTGTGAGCACAGGGACCAGGAGGTCCAGGGACTGAGGACACAGTCCTTGGGGCAAGGCACCTCACAGACGACAGGCATGGGCAGGATGGCATCACGGCATAGTTGGCGGTCTACATACTCACCTGGAGGCACAGGGAGACAGGAGACACAGTATATGAGGCTAGCAGTAGTACCATCTTTGTTACATACATGTACAATACACAGTCAGCATCATGTGTGACTCCCGAGTGGCGCAGTGGTCTAAGGCACTGCATCGCAGTGCTAGCTGTGCCACTAGAGATCCTGGTTCGAGTCCAGGCTCTGTCGCAGCCGGCCGCAACCGGGAGACCCATGGGCGGTGCACAATTGGTCCAGCGTCGTCCAAGGTAGGGGAGGGTTTGGCCGGCAGGGATGTGGGTTCGTTTCCCACGGGGGGCCAGTATGAAAAAATATATTTAAAAAATACGTATGCATTCACTAACAACTGTAAGTGGCTCTGGATAAGAGCGTCTGCTAAATGACTAAAATGTACATGTGCCGATATCACACACAAAATCGCATAATCAGATCTGGCACATCTGTTCACAAATTGGACATATACTACAAACGCCCAAGGTGCCTTATTGCTATTATAAACTGGTTACCAACGTAATTAGAACAGTAAAAAATACTTGTGGTATGCGCTCTGCTATACTACAGCTTTAATCCAATCAGCATTCAGGGCTCAAACCACCCGGCTTATAAGAGAACACAAACCACACACAACATTTGTCCACATGTTCACCAAGTCTGAGGGGAAAATAGGCACTGGGCATTACAATGCATGTTTACACCAGCATAAAATATTGGTTGCTTTCTCAGACAAACAAGCAGGCAGACTAGAGAACCATTGGATATGAGGGAACAAATCTGGGGAATTACAACTTCTTTCAAAGCAAGAACCTATGAATAAAAGTGGATATTTACACCCATTGAAATTCTAATTCAGGCAGTGAGGCATTAGTTTAGTCTTTTACTCATGACTTTGACAGTGCACTTGGAAGAAAAATGTGCTCATATCCAAATTATTGCATCTCTAATGCATAAGCAAGCTGGATAAAACCTTGTGTATCTCCAACTGTGTCAAGTTACATAGACATTAAGACAACAGATACTGAGTCATTGTTATCTTCTCACACACACACACACACACACACACGTCACTGGACCATGATGTTCTGTCCAAATGTCTTGAAAAAGCGTCTTGAGATTCATGAATGAACAAAACACGTGACATACAAGCACATTTTTATTAATTGGCTTTTAACACAAACATACTACTTCCTCTACCAATGTATACTTTTAGATTCCTCCAATCTACAGTGAAAATGTATCTTGGTGTAGACTGCTCATACATATTCCATATGCTTAATACATAACACCATTGGAGCTGGCAGAACGAATGGTACTGTATAACAAGTATATCAAGTATATTTTTTGATTCAATAAGTAGCTGTTGGTAGTGTCTTGTTAGGGCAGTTGAATTTAAGTGCCTTCTTTTCCCTAGTAGTCTACCTAATCATTGGTGTTTGAACTGCCTGATTGGCCAGTACTTGTGACTGTCGTTGTCTCAAGCCTATTTGTGCAACAGTGTTGCTAATTTGGGAGTGTGTTGTATTGTAGGGGGTGTTTTCTTCACCTCTGCCAGGTAATCAGCAATCAGTGCTGGGAGGTGTGTCTTTCACCTCTGCTAGGCATTTAGTAATAATAAATAATAATATGCCATTTAGCAGACGCTTTTATCCAAAGCGACTTACAGTCATGCGTGCATACATTTTTGTGTATGGGTGGTCCCGGGGATCGAACCCACTACCTTGGCGTTACAAGCGCCGTGCTCTACCAGCTGAGCTACAGAGGACCACAGGCTAGTACTTCAGTCTCCCCTGTATTTTCAGCAGCAGCTGTAAGCAGCGGTGTTGTCACCAAAACTAAGACGTTCTGCCGAGTTATTATGCAGATTTATTATTATTTTCGGATGATCTCATTTTGTTGTTTTGTAGCTTGGCAACTATGTGTGTGTTTTCTTTACCTGTTTGCTCCTCTCCCTGTAGTTTTTACAGACGCTTCCCTCCCTGTGGCTGCAACCCTTCTAATTTAGTGTACCCTTCGCGCACATTCCTTTTCCCACTAGCACTGACTTCGCTGATAAATACTTTGTTGAGGGAAAATGTACTTGATACGATTGTGATGTGCTGTTGTCTCACCGAGCTACTGTATCTTAAGGTGAATGGTCTAATCAGGATAAGAGCGTCTGCTAAATTACTCAAATGGAAATGTATAAAGTTCAGTAGCGTGCCATGTGCATAAAAACTCTGATGAGTCAGCTGTGCACATGGCAAGTAGTATGGTCCTCTCGATGTTTGCAAACATGAATGAAAGTGTTTCCTCCAGAGCTAAAACAGAACTAAGCACTGCTAAGAGATAGAGATAGAGAGAGGAAGGGGGAGAGGGAGAGACTTATTTAGCTTTTATCAGGCATCAGTTGCAGATTCATAGCCTTGTGGAATTACTTCATTTGATTTGACAGCCTGTTAACAGATACTTTCAAATCATTTATGAGTAACGGGTAAATGTTAAATGTTTTTTTTAAAGATTGAGCTAAAATGTGCATATCATTTTTGCATCAAAAAATGTAATGACCAACATAGACACATGTATACAAACAAACGATAACGTACACACTATACACACATGTACACATGGATTTTGTGTTATAAATATGTGGTAGTAGAGTAGAGGCGTGAGGGCACACACTTAATGTGTTGTGAAATCTGTTATGAATGTATTGTAATGTTTTTAAAATGTATAACTGCCTTAATTTTGCCGGACCCCAGGAAGAGTAGCTGCTGCCTTGGCAGTAGCTAATGGAGATCCATAATAAATACAAACCCATCCCATTACTCTGATGTCGCCCCTCTGTATCAGTCAAACCCCCACCCTAACCTCTTCCATCATCTCACCCCATCCCTCTTTTGTCGATCACTCCTATACGTATCAGGTTAATGATCTATAGTGATGGGAATAAAAGATAGTGATTGTGGGATCCTGAACCATCACCGTATTGATCTAAATCTGTGGGATGTGGCCACAACCCCCACCCTTATCCTTACCCCATCAAATCCCCATTCCCATCCCATCCTTCTTTCATCTCTCCCTCCATCTCTATACCCCATCCCATCTCTATACCCCAACCCCCAAACCTCACCCAAACCAACCCACCCGCTCAACCTCATCCCATCTCTGACCATCCCAACATATACCACCCATGCATACCCACCCCTCTAACCCCACCCTCTCAATAACTCCCCATCTTAACCCACCCAGCCAAACCCACCACCAACCCCCAACCAACCCCACCACAACCCACCCACAACCCACCCATCCCACCGAACCCAACGGCTAACACCACTATACACCACCCATATAACCCACCCACCTATACCCCACCCCCCAAACCCCCCCATCTCAACTTATCCCATTCATACCTCACCATCTCCTATACCTCATCCCCATACCCATCCACTGGGAACCCGGTGCCCTACCTAACCCAAACCGAAAACCCACCCAAACCACCCCCCGAACCCCCACCTTGACCACCACTTTAATCCCCCACCCACCCCCAACTTACCCACCACAACGCAGACCCACCCCAACCAATCACACCAAACACTGAACCCCACCCACCAACCAACCAACCAAAACCCCCCCCAACCCCCCCCACCAAAACCCCCAGCCACCAACACACCCCCCTACAACCCACCCACCAAACCCCCCACCACCTACCCACCCACCCCACCAACTATCGCACCCACTCTTCGCCATCCCCCAACTTTCCCCCCAACCCACCCCAACCCACCATCAACCCATCCCATACAACCCCCAAGGAACAACTATCCCACCAGCCGACCCAAACAGCTCAATAACCCGCCCCCATCCTATACCCACCCCCCAACAACCCAAACTCGTACCTCATCCCCCTATGACCCATCCTCCAACCACCCACCTAACCACCCACGCTCCCCCTCGAACCCACCCAAACTCGAACCCACCCATTATGTACCCACCCACCTAACCAACCCAACCAACCCACAACTCAACCCACACCACCGTACCGACCCACAACCCCCCCCCTCCAACCCACCCACCAAATCAACAACCACCGAAACCCCTCCCACCAACACCCACACCCCACCAAACGCAATGCACCCACCATACCCCACCCACCAGACCCCACCAGCCAAAACCCACCTACCATCCCATCGTCTTAGCCCGTCAACCCACCCACAAACCCCAACCCAACCCCTCACCCACACCAAAAACCACCCCCTAACCCACCCACGCATACCCACCCATCGGACCAACAACCCACCAACAACCACCATCAACCCACCCAACCAACCCATCCCACCAACCCATCCACCAACTACCCATCCAAACACCCACATCCAAACCACCCATCCACTCAAAACCCAAACCCCCACCCTTTATACACCACCATACCCCATCCCCTAACTACCAAGAACCCATCCATCTCAACCCACTCCTCCATCCATAAAACCCATCCACCACCAAAAAACCCCCCCACCATACCTCCACCACGCACCCTCTACCAACAAACCCACCCCAACCACCCACTCAACCCCACCATACCATACCACCACTCAACCCCCCAAAACAACCCCCCACCCACCCCATATCATCCCCTCCCAACTCCCCCAGCCAACCACCACCCCCACCCCCTCAACGCACCAAACCCCACCACCTAACCCCCCACCCAATCAAACCAACCACCAACCACCCACGCAAACCCCCCCCATCAACCGCACCCACCTATACTCACCCACCAACCCACCCCGACTCCCCCAAACCCCCCCATCCTAACCCACCACAACCCACCCACCTAACCCCACCCATCCGACCCACCCATCAACCCACCCATCCTTAACCGCACCCACCCATCGACTCCCCATCCAACTCCAACCCAACCATCCCACCATCGCACCCACTCAACCCAAACGCAACCCCACCAACCACCACGATACCCACCCACTCTCAACCTCATCCCATCTTAACCTCATCCACCAGCTTAACCAACCCACCAGCAACCCATCCCATCTCTATATCCCCCACCATACCCACCCCCCCATACCAACCATCTCAACTCCCACGCTATACCCATCCACCAACCCAGCCCATCCCATCCTAACGACCCACTCGACCCAGCCCACCAACCACCCAAACCCCCAATCCCACCTATACCATCCCACTCTATACCTCAACCCATCTTAAAACCCCATCCCCTTTTACCTCCATTCCCCCTAAAACTCAACCTCCCCTCTCTATAAACCCAAACCCATCTCTTAAAATCATCCATTCTATAACCCTCCAATTCAACCCCTCTCTATTTTTAAACCCCAACCCCTCTTGTACCCACCCCCCAACCCCTCCTTTTCCCATACCCCACCCATCTCATACCCCCATCCCCTCTCTATCCTCATCCCTTTTAACCAAACTATGGGGCCCATCCATCCCCTATAACCCCCAAAAAAATTTTTCTATACCTACCCATCTTTATAAACCCCATCCCCTCTCTTACCCCTCCCAAAAACTCTAAACTTTAAAACCCATCTTATAAACATCCCATCTCTTAACCCCCCCATTTTCTACAAAAAATCATAAAAACCTCTAACCCCAACCCATCTCTTTAACCCCCCCCATCCTTTTATACCCCATCCCATCCTTTTACCCTTTATCCCCCTTTTCCCCCTTAAAACCCCATCCATCTCTATAAACCCCCTCCACCTACCCATCCCATCTCATACCCCCCATCCCATCTCTAAATTAAAAATCCTTTACCTCATCCCATCTCTATATCTATTTCCTCTCTATACCCCCATCCCATCTCAAAACCTAATTTTTTCTCATAACAACCCCCCTCGCTAAAAACCCCATCCTATTTTTCATAACCTCATCCCATTTCAACCTCATCCCATCCATACCCACCCATCTCTTTTACCCCATCCCCCTCTATTTCCTCATCCCAAACTCATCCCCCTTCCCCCCGCTATAAAAACCCCCTCCCCTCCTGTACCCTACCCTCCTTTACCCAACCAAACCTATAAACCCCCTCCTCCTATACCCCCCCCATCCCTTTTACCCCCCCCATCTTATAAACCCACCCAACCAAACCTCACCCCTCCATACCCCCCCCTTCCCATTTCCCCCATCCAACCTCACCCCATCTCTATACCATCTCAACTTCCATCTCAACTTCCATCTCAACTTCCAACCCTAGCCTTATCTTCGCTCTATCCTATCCCATCCTATCACATCTCAGTGGGTTATTCCGTATCAATGAAAGCCCTTTTCACACTCCATTGTATTCCAGCCCATACTATCTCTCTTTCATGGTCCCCTCCCTCCTATCTGTATCAGTGATAAAAATCCCATAGTGACAGGAGGAACCAGAGGAGCAGCCAGTCTGATGACATGTCTGGAGCCCCTTGGGGGAAACAAATCAATTTTCATCAGCAGCAGACAACAGAGGATCAATAGAGTCCAGTCAAGAGGGACTGGGAGGGCCGCTGTGTGTGTGTGTGTGTGTGTGTGTGTGTGTGTGTGTGTGTGTGTGTGTTTGTGTGGTGGTGGAATGGAATGGAAGTCTCCATGCGATAGATTGGGAGAGGAAATCATTAAAGTGTTTGTATGAGACTGATTATTCTCCTGGCTTCTGACTGACTGTCCTTTTGTGACATCTTTGTGTGAAAACATTGAATGCTGTCTGGCTTCATTCATTAGCACTCCAAGGTAGGAAACACATGTCTATAGACACCCAAGACGGTAAAACAAGAGGTTCATGCCTTGCAAGAAGTAGATGATGAAGTATGAAAAATGTATGTACTCACTAACTGTAAGTCGCTCTGGATAAGAGCATCTGCTAAATGACAAATAAATTATTTGCAATACAAATTAACAACAAATGTATTGAATCATGGACCCTTAAATCTAGAATCCTTAATTGAAACCATAAGAAAGCAGGCACCCTGCCTCTGTTTTGTGAAAAAGCTGAGGGATGAGTCTGATAGACAGCGCTATGGATGCAAGGACTGACCATCCAGGATATCAAAATGATAGTTTTAGTCATGTTTTGAGGCTATACAGTGTTTGTTTTTCATTTACATTGTTTACACACAATGGGGTAAATCAAGCCTATATTTTGGGTTCTGATGTGGCACGACACTTGAACTAAATTCATGTGTCATCCCATCTCTATACCTTGTATTCTTCAAGAATCAGTGGGTATTCATAATTAATGAATACCCAGTCCAAAAATGGATGTAGCAACTAAGGATTCTAGCTTAAAAATCATAACCATCCTTCACCTCTCAGAAATCCCCCTCCTCCCCCCATCCTCCCTTTCTCTGTCCAGCATGTGTCTAGAAATCAATTCAGCAAAACCCACAGAGGAGAAACAACCAGCTACGGCTGTCTGTCCTCGGCTCTGCAAGCTACCCAACTGATCAAAGAGGCAACACACCTCACATCAGAAACCCACCCCCCTTCCTCCTCTAGCTGGGTCTGAACTGTGTCTTAATGGAAAAGCACCAGACATCGTTTGACATATCCTCTATTCAACCCTGCCTCATTCCATCCGGGTGGGGAACACACATGCACACAGGCACACACATGCACACACACACACACAAACACCCTAATGTGAAAGACAGGCAGGGTAAATGTGAACCGACTGTGTGGAGAAGCGCCAGGTAATCTAATTTACCAGTAACTAAATCTGATTCAACAGGGTGCTGCTGTAAAAGCAAGCTCACTGCAGCCAGCAGCCATGTTGTCTCTATAACTGGGGAGAAGGGATGGGGAGGCCACCTTGAATGAAGAAACCAGGGTGTAGACAGAAAGTCTACCTGGGCTGGGCTTGTTCACCACCTAGCTAAATGGGTCAATATACACAATACACTGTGTCTGTAGGGAGGGATGGAGGGAAATAGAAAGCGGTGAGAATAAGGAGGTAGGAAGGCATGAAAAGTATTTAGGAAATAGGGAGTGGTGAGTTGAAGAGGGAGGTAGAGAGAGAAAGCTGTGAGCAGAGAGGGTGGTTGAGAGAGAAAGCTGTGAGCAGAGAGGGTGGTTGAGAGAGAAAGCTGTGAGCAGAGAGGGTGGTTGAGAGAGAAAGCTGTGAGCAGAGAGGGTGGTTGAGAGAGAAAGCTGTGAGCAGAGAGGGTGGTTGAGAGAGAAAGCTGTGAGCAGAGAGGGTGGTTGAGAGAGAAAGCTGTGAGCAGAGAGGGTGGTTGAGAGAGAAAGCTGTGAGCAGAGAGGGTGGTAGAGAGAGAAAGCTGTGAGCAGAGAGGGTGGTAGAGAGAGAAAGCTGTGAGCAGAGAGGGTGGTTGAGAGAGAAAGCTGTGAGCAGAGAGGGTGGTTGAGAGAGAAAGCTGTGAGCAGAGAGGGAGGTTGAGAGAGAAAGCTGTGAGCAGAGAGGGTGGTTGAGAGAGAAAGCTGTGAGCAGAGAGGGAGGTTGAGAGAGAAAGCTGTGAGCAGAGAGGGTGGTTGAGAGAGAAAGCTGTGAGCAGAGAGGGTGGTTGAGAGAGAAAGCTGTGAGCAGAGAGGGTTGTTGAGAGAGAAAGCTGTGAGCAGAGAGGGAGGTTGAGAGAGAAAGCTGTGAGCAGAGAGGGTGGTTGAGAGAGACTAGTGTTAGTGTTTCATCTCATCAATATTACTACCTTATGTAAAAAGTTATCTCCCTTTCTCACTCCTAATAGTATTCATCTTGTACCATAAATCTTTCAACATACGATATAGATATTCTCCTCCTCTGAAAAGAACAGACTATTAGACTAATATGCCTTTCACCATCGTCATCATCACGGCAACAGCCTGGTGCAGGCAGCACGAAGCTCTGGCTGATGTGAATGGGACCTTGATTATTGTTATAATATGAGAACTGGTTGAGAAGTACCAACACACACAGACACAGACACACACACACACTCACACTCCCTAGGGTGATCATTAGCAGGCAGTGTGCTATGGTTCACGAATCTTCTGATAATTGCTATATTCATACGGTGAATCTTAGTCGAACGAGAGAGAACAGAAAATTCCCAGGATGTAAAATACAATTACAATACACGGTCCCTAATTGAATCATTAATAAAGTGTGAAGGCAAGCCATTTACATTTCTCATTTCTGTCCCCTTTTATTAATTGGTGGGTTATTTAATCATCTTAAACTAAGGTGAACTATTTCAGATATATTGAATCTATTAAGGTACTTTACAGGTGAATTACACCTGTATTCATCCATACTAAAACTCACACTCCTAATCATTTTTATTGTTAAATTCTCAAGTCAGCTATGCTTATTTTCTCCATTATTCTGAACTTAATTAAATTAGGGTGAATTCAATTATTGAGATTAAACTCTGTCTCTTAAACACAAGGCCACTTTGGTCTTCCCTGACTAAAACACAAGGCCCCTTCGGTCTTCCCCGATTAAAACACAAGGCCCCTTCGGTCTTCCCTGACTAAAACTCTCACCTCCCAAACCACATAAAAAATGCATCAGTTACACTCCTCCCAGGTGCACTGCTTCCTATTACACATGCCATAACAAATGTTTGCTCTGTGTCAGACACGCTTGGAGAATAATGCAATCTGTGTGACAAGGGGATTGCGGAGTTTTGCGTCTCTTTGACTTTAGTGTCTTGGTTTGGCACAATGATTTGAGACAATGATTTCAATTTGTGCCCTATTTGACTATTAGACCACACAAACCAACCAGATCAAGCTGTTCTCTTCAGTCTTCAAATGGTGGACCACGTCAGTACTACAAGCCAATATCACTGTGCTTGCCAAAAGCAACAAGCACTATGGTTATTGTTTCATTTACTCTCACATGCTAACTGAATTCTGTCTCAGTATTCAAGTTTCTTTTGGAGAGAACATGAATTAGCAAGTGCTGTATATCTAGCTCTGTCCATGTGTGTGTGTGTGTGTGTGTATGTGTGTGTGTGTGTGTGCGTGTGTGTGTGTGTCCCTCCTCTGGCAGTGCCAGCACAGCTCTCTGTGTGTCTCAGCCAGCACAATTACGACCAGCAGTGGCTCGTGCCTGGCCCCTCGGCCCCATGGGATATCAGGCAGCACGCTGTGGCTGGTGTGGCTGCAGTCAAACCCTTTAGCACAAAGCTTTACACACACACACACACACACACACAGGCACGCTTACGCAGACACACACACGCACATGCTGGAGCACACACACATAAACACATGTACACGCACGCACACGTGCACATACACACAAGCCTCCATAGCTCTGCAATCTTAGGACTAGACAAACAATAGAGAAAGAAAGAAATATCCATAAAACAAGATTGCTACAGAAACAGCAATTACCCTGTTGGGCTGCGGTCCAAGGCTAACACACACACAAACAGACTGTTGGGCATAGTTTACGGCCGAACCCCTGCAGGCACAGTTCAAGGCAATAAAGCTAAAGCCCAAAACAATATGAGTCTCTGAGCTCCAATTCACCCAAAACATATTGTAACACAACTGAACAAACCATGAATATTAACTGTTACATGGTAATTAACACACCGATACAAGAAAGGATCTATCGGAGGACGAGAGAGGAGAGGAGAGAGTATAGCGGAGAGAGAGAGAGGAGAGGAGCGAGAGAGAGAGAGAGGAGAGGAGGACGTACAGGATAGAGAGGATCGAGAGATAGACGAGAGAGAGAGAGATCTCGAGCTCGCCTCGCATCTCTGATCTATATATCTCTCTCGATCTACAGCTCTATCTCTCTACTCATCGAGTAGCCGATCTCTGCTCTCTATCTCTCTCTCTCTCTCTCTCTCTCTCTCCTTACCATCACTGTTGACACACTGCACTTGTGGTATCTGGGTGCCCGGTCCACACTCTCTCTCATTGTCCGGGATACACTTCTCCAGCTTCACAAGCAGCCAATCATAGCAGCTGGGTTCGTCACATGGTATGGCCTCCACCAAGTGAGGGCAGCTTCCTGTTCCTCCCGTCGGCTCATTGACGATTCTCCTCTTCCTCAGTTTGAACCCTGGTAAGAAAAGACAGGAAAATAGGTATACTGGTGCTGCCATGGAACCATACATAGCTGTATAATTATACCATTCCACGATCTGCTTCTACTATCCCAAATAACATTTCAATAAAGTATAGTTTTGCAACATACAGGTCACCTTTTCATTATTTTTTTAAACAGCAGGAACTAACAGACTTTCACACACGACCCCCTCACTCATGACCAACCTCGCCCTCTGTGGTGGCAACTTTCAGGGCCTCCCTCATCACCAACTTCCCCCTCTGTGGTAGCACCTTTCAGGGCCTCCCTCATCACCAACCACCCCCTCTGTGGTAGCACTTTTCAGGGCCTCCCTCATCACCAACCTCCCCCTTTGTGGTAGCGCTTTTCAGGGCCTCCCTCATCACCAACCTCCCCCTTTGTGGTAGCGCTTTTCAGGGTAGCTAAACATGATTTTCATGGAGTCACAACTTAATGTCTAACTTCGGTACATGAACTTCCCTCTACTATGCTACAGTCACATTGTGTCTTTGATGATAACCGTAATATAGCATTTATTTCTTTAACACGGCAGGACCGCTAAGCTCCAGAAGATGACAGACATTAGAGAAACAGCTTCCCATTATGACTGTTATTGTCCCGACTTCGGCCAAGGCTGCCTCCCCTCCTTGTTCGGGCAGGCTTCGGCGTTCGTCGTCACCGGCTTACTAACCACTGCCGCCCCAATCATCATCACATTTGTCTTGTCTTGTCAATCACACACACCTGGTCCTAATCCCCTCATTAGTCTGTGTATAAGTGTTCCCTCTGCCCCCTTGTCCTTGTTGGTGATTGTTATTTGTGAGAGTAGTGGAGCTCGGTGGAGCTACACGTAACATATTGTTGCCAGGGTAGATATTCCCCTGTGCCTATGTATTATTGGATATCTGTTACAGTGTATTTGCCAGAGATGATAGTTTCCCCTGTGCCTGTTTCGTTGAGCGCTATTTGAGCGCATTTGTGTGTCTACGAAGGAATAAACTCTGTATTCGGTGATTACCCTCCTGCGCCTGACTCCTTTCCATCACACTCATCACAATTATTGTTCTCTCCTCATTAAGCCAGGCTTTTACCCAAAGTGACTCATGTACTAATGGATGCAGCAATCCATTAATACCTTCATAATATTTGTTTTTCCAAGTCTGAGGGCTTTCCCCTGTCTTTGCTCAAGGACATGGAAGTGGTGATGGCTGGGGCTGGGGCCCGGGAGGTGTGTGTGTGTGTGTGTGTGTGTGTGTGCCTTGTGTGCCTGCACCTACATATGTGTGTGTGTTTGTGTTATGTTAACCCCTGCCTGCCCAGCCCCAAGTCAGCCTGCCCCCAGCCCCAGGGCCTAATCCCCACTGCTGCTCCAGCCTGATAAGAAAGGAGCATGGGGGAGCCAGCAGGACTGGAGGACTCAGGTGGATGATGGCTGACTCTCGCGTTCTTCGGATTATTTCGGATTCTTTCCTATTCTTCCCCGAACCCTCTATTTAATGAGGAGGGCCGGCTGGAAGATGGAGGTGTGTTGTCAGATGTCAGGGTTGAGGTGGAGAGTTTAACAGGAAAAGGTTGGGGAGAGTGTGAAGAGAAGTGTAAGAGGAGAGGAGAGGTGGAGGGTTTAGGAAAGTTGAAGGGCGGGGGGGGGGGGGGGGGGGGGGGGGGGGGGGGGGGGTGTTATAGAGGGGGGAATGGATAGGGGTCCAGCCAGGTTATGTAAATCTAATATCACTACTGTCTGTCGAACCACAGTAAAGGAAAGCAAGGTGAACAGATTGACTGAGGCCTTTCCACCCTGTCAGAGCCTGGGGGCTCTTTGCACAGATAAACATACTGATGGAGAAGTATGTGTAGGCTATAATGACTTCTCCAATACGGTATGGTGTTGCAACATCTCAAAGGCCGTGGCTGAGACGAACGTATCTAAGAAACCAGCCATTATTTTGAAAACGTATCTCCCATTAACGGTGCAGTATGTTACTAGAATCCATCAAATATTGGTAGATAGATACAATCACAGTGTGTGTGCACAGTCCATTTGGACAGCCACCACAAAGAGCGACAAACGTTGATTGAATGAAGGCTGGGAGATCAGGGCATGTTGATGTTGTATGGAGTTCGTTGTTACAGGGATAAACAAGTGTCCAGAGAAATGTCTGAGAGTCTACTTCTCTTGACTAATGAGAGCCAGGGTGTACAAACACACACACACTCATCCAGTCAAGGTTGTGTGTGTACTTTATGAGATACAGTAGTGTGAGATGCGAGACGAGCGTGTAGTGGGACGAGAGCGAGAGAGAGAGAGAGAGAGAAAGAAAGAAAATAAGAGAGAGAGATTAAGACGTGCGCAAGAGTGAATTCATCATTAAGATGCATGGGAGACAATTTCTAGGCTTCCCTTCCATTTGAGATGCTTCATTAGGGTAGAGTCAATATGCATTAGTCACCATAGTGGAGTTGATGGAGGGGGCTGCTGCTGCCATTCTGTTCCTGTACCAGGGATAATTAAGGTCTGAGCAGCCAGCCAGCCAGCCAGCATGTCTGTGTGTGTGTGTGTGTGTGTGTGTGTGTGTGTGTGTGTGTGTGTGTGTGTGTGTGTGTGTGTGTGTGTGTGTTTGTGAGCCAGCCAGCATGTCTGTGTGTGTGTGTGTGTGTTTGTGTGTGTTTCAGCCCCTACTGTTGGAATAGCTGTTAACAAAAAGGGCGTAGAGACACCTCCACCCTCCTCCGCCCTCCGTATAGCATCCCCTCTCGATATCTCTGTCTTTCTCTGTCTCTCTTCTATTTATCTCCTGTTTAGTCTTTGTCAGAGGAAGAGTAGAATGAGGGGAATGAGATGGCAACCCACGCTATTGTACTGTAGACATGGTATTGGCTGTAGGAGAGAGGTCAATATCAACATATTGCTTATACTGTATACACCTGTGCTCTATATGGAAGCTGTGATGTTTCACACTTTTTTTTTTTTTTACATATTTTTCTAATACTACTGTAACAGATATTTTCTTTTAAATGCAACAATGATTGCTTTCTCACCTACAGTGTTTTTTATATCTATATTATACCGTTTTGAACCACGCTATAACTCCAAATTTATGTTGTGTTCCAGGGGCTTGCCAAGAGGATTGCCAAGAGGATAAAGAAAATCAATATTGAGACTCAATACATATCATAACTCAACATTTAGCTGAATGCAACACAAATAAAGATGGATTCTGGAGTAGTGTTGCGTACATATACCAGACTGAACACAGCTTAAGCTCTCAAATCATGTTATCAGTTTATTGTTACTGGTGAAGTGACTGATGGATGGATACAGACTGAGGACACAATTATAAATAAGACCTGCTATTGACAGTGTAACCAATGCCTGTTTCATTTTCAAGATGGCTACCTATGTGATCGACCGGGTTCGAACCTGAGTCTCTAGACGAAAAAGATGTCTTGCTCAACACCAAGGATATAGTGTCTTGGGTGCTGTATCCCAGCCAGGAGTAATCAAAATAAAAATGTTTTCACATTCATCATTACTAAAGTATAGCTATTACTATGTTACACCCAGTGTGTGGTGTTCCAATGCCATCATTTCAAGATGGCCATCTATGTGACTGAATGGGTATCAAAGTCAAGACTGTGTTAGCCCACAAAGCTAAAGCTTAGGCATAACTGTCATTAGAGCTGTGCTCCACCCACCTTTCTTGGCAGCTGTGTCCAGGCAGTTCTCAAAGGTGCAGGGTCCCCAGGCACTCCAGGAGGACACGTCACACTCCACAGGACAGGGGATGTGGCACAGCTGGGTGGTGTTGGGGGGCGGGCTGAGGCACAGGTCACCGTCAACGGGCCTGGAGGCTGGAAACACAGAGCGATACACAGAGACATGATGTCAGAACAGGGCAGGGATGTGGCATTAATGGTTCATGTTGGGCGCAAGGCTAGGCATAGATCACTGTTTACAAGTATGAAGACATATAAAAACATGAAAGCTAGGTAGTGTAGTGATATGCATTTAGAGACTATCCACATACATTTAATATACTTTACAGACTGAGTTCTATCTGTTATTACTGTCACTGTGGATCTAACTATTGTACTTTTAGCCTGTCTCTCTCCATCTGTGTAGTGGGATAAAACTTCAGGCTAATGGATGACAACGAATCATGAATCGTTCCACCAGTCATGAATAAAACTCACACCAACTAAAACCCCACAGGGCAGTTCATAGTAATAAATATTCCTACCCTCACGCTATCTCAAATCCAAGAAAACATTTGGTAAACAGTATGGCCTTTCATGTATTAATCATCCTGCTAAATCCAGTCTAGTTTGAAACAACAAAGGCTTTTTTTCGCTCTCTATCCCCAAACGGCAGATCAGGCTCAGGGGAGGCCTAGTGCTGCTCAATGACACACACACACACACACACACACACACACACACACACACACACACACACACAAACACACACGGTGGATAAATCAATGAGCCGTAGGTGACCCTCTACAAGGTCACTGCTCTGATTAATCATTCCCACCGCTCCATCACCATGCTTTGACTGAAGCCTGAGTCTGACTCATTCACATGCAAATTTCCTCCACTTTGCCAAAGGTGTGTCCTTTTAATAGTGTCTGTTAAAATGTGTGTGTGTGTATGTACGTGCGTGGTGCGTGCCTGTCAAGTGATTATAAAAAAAATTCAATCTGCGCAGCGTACTAATTTATTTTAGTAATTATAAAATCCCTCTGGCAACGGTAGCTGAATAGGTACAATCAAGGGGAGTAGGCTACATATGCGTAAGCTTTAAAGTGTATTGAATGGATGCTTACTTACGCCACTTAAGAAGGCCATTGGCACAGACAAGCCTATGAAGTAATACAAATAATGTGGTGAGTGCTTATATTTGTCCTATTTCACACATGTACAAATGATGTTGCGTGACGAGTAAACATGTGGCATCATTATCGTTTCCAGTCAGTATTGTGTGTGTGTGTGTGTGTGTGTGTGTGTGTGCACTTGTCTGGCGTTAACAATACTGACTGGAAACGATAATGATGCAACATGTTCACTCGTCACGCAACATCATTTGTACATGTGTGAAATAGGACAAATATAAGCACTCACCAAATTATTATTATTATTATTATAATTGCACAGTCCGCAGTACTGTGCAATTATACTGGAAATGATCATGACTGGAAACGGTAATGACTGGTGTCACGGATCCCCCCAGTACTGCTGCTCATTCCGTTCACCAGCTCTGGAGGTCTACGTCACTGGCTTTCTAGGTGTCACTGATTTGGTTCATTACCACCAACCCCACGGACTGTCTTGTCTCATTAAGCACACCTGGTTCCCATTCCCCCTGATTAGTATGTGTATATATGTGCCCTCTGTGTCCCATGTCCGTTGGTCTTGTGAGTACCGTGTATTGTGTAGAGGTTACACCTCGCTCTTTGTTTGGGTTACATCCCTTTGTAAGGGGTGAGGTGTGACCCAGGACATACAGTAGGCAGAGATGGTGAAACAAGGATCTTTACTGGTGGTCCCGAAGCCAAAATACAAAATAACGGACTTATCATGATAAAAGAAAGGCAGAGCAAATAAGTCTCCAAAAACCGGCTGACAGCCAAAATACGAAATACTACCTAAGACTGAAACAAATAACGAAACAGGGAGAACACTTCTCAAGTACCTGTACATAGCTCTCCAATCAGACACTGAGTAGTACTGCTGGACATAGAGAAACTAGCAGAGAAAACTGAGCAAGGGAACGCAGGGAAGTGAGGGCATAAATACACAGGTGAACCGATAGACACAGGTGACACCAATAGGATGATGATTAGTCCCGACTGTGAGTGAGGAGGTGCCTAAGGTTGTCGGAGGATGACACCTAGTGGGTCGCTCCGGAACTGCGACCCCCTCCTGTAACACTTTTTGGTATATATATACACGTGTTTGTGTTGGGTGGAGTAAATAAAACCCCTAATACGTATTCCTGCGCCGGTCTTCTAATCATTAAACAATGTGACAACTGGAAACGATAATGATGCCACATGTTTACTTGTCCCGCCACATTATTGCACGGTTCACCAGCCCATTTTCATCCAAGCCATTTTACAAGTGGCTACGTCTCCTCTATGCTGCATGGCTATTTTGGTAGACAATGGACCTTTCTGCCCCACTCTCCTAGTCAATATAAAGTATCTAATGTGTGTGTGTGTGTGTATGTGTATGTGTGTGTGCAGACTGAAGTAGCTACTGTATTTTCTCATCCTCTTTGCCATTATAACAAAGGCTGATTAATGAACGTCTCCGTGCTGGGTGACCTTGGTTGAGGTGCCACATGGGTCTCTCGCTCTCTCTCCTGCCAGATGGTCTTGTCTTTACTCTACCCACCCTCACACACACACACCACACAGGGGTTCCTGGGGCCAAACTAGGACCTCCAATCCCAGGCAGACACCTGTGCCTCACCCCTCTCCTCCTCTCTCTGTCACCCCTTGCCATCATCAATAACTCTACTTCCGGATGGCATCACACAGCCAGCCATTCTACTGCTAGCTACAGAATGTCTCTATGGGCCCTCTAATAAGGCTCCATATTGATTTTAACCAAACAGAACAGAGCTGGCTAGAACTGATGACCATCAAAGCCAATAACTACAGTAACATCAGATTTACTGCCTTCCTGCACCCTTCCTTCCTCTCGCTCTCAATTCCGCCCTCTTTCTCTGCCTCCAGTAACTGGTAGTAGACAGAAATTGAAACAGCTGCTTTTCCCTGTTGTCCATATCTGACCCCCCCATGGAATAGTTTAATAAATCCACACTTCATTTCAGCAGCATTTTGGCAATCATAACATAGGTCTGTTGAAGCCAACTGTAATCCCCAGAATGATTGAATGAGTGAGTTTTGTGTCCGAATAAAGCTTATTTCCTATGTAAATGGAATGAGAATGCATACACATACAGGAAAGTGACAAGCCTAAATGACTAATCACACACACACACACAAAACTATCCAGCCTCAGTCATGTCGCATAGGGAATAAAACATCATTGTTGAAAGCAAAAAACAAGTATACATCAGCTTAAATCAGACTGAAGATTTAGCTCTCCATCCAGGCTTCAGTGTCCGCAAGGAAACCCGCAATTGTTACAGCTGAGATGGAGATATGTGTATAATGCTTTATAGATTCAGCAGTAAATTGCCAGAGATGAGAGCAATTCTGTGTAGATCCCTATAATGACCCAGAACTGTGTATTTGATTTAGGTTCCAGGTGTGTAATGTTTGGTTTTGAAGACAAGAGAGATGATTGAGAAGGAGATCGAGAGAGGAGACTGGAGAATGAGTAAGGGAATACCAAAAGTGGATGGGGGAGTTGTAATTGTGCCATAGAGCAGACAGGAAAGGATTGAAAGGAAAATATGTGTTACGGCAGGTGGGCTTGCTGTGCTTCCCTACCTCCAACTCTCCCTCTCTATCTGTCCTTCTCCCACTCCCACTCCTTCTCTGCAACTGTCACCATCACTTGTGTCATCTAGCAAACCCTGTCACTTCCAAATACAAGACGCTCACAAGATTAGAAAAATCTATAAAGTTGCGGTTCACATTTTTTCTTTAGCAAAGTGCCTCCTCTGTCTGACTGTCTGAGAGCAGCTGGAATCATTTTAATCATTTATTTGAGCGGTGGCCAGTTGAGCCCCCTGACCAGATGGTCTGTCTGGGAGTTAGTGTGGCAGCGCTGGATAAATATGGGCTTGCTACCAGCTACCTTCACTTACATATTAACTGACTAAGTAGTGCTACCTACTTTACCCCACACTCATATTTCATATCGCACCACTGCGCTCTCTCTCTCTTCTCTCTCTCTCTCTCTCTCTCTCTCTCTCTCTCTCTCTCTCTCTCTCTCTTCCCTCCTTGCATTGTTCTCCTCTCTGCCTCGGTTCCTTCCTCTCCCTCCCTCCCTTAATCTTTCCCTCCCCATCCACTCATATTTACATATACAACCCGGCTCCAGATGTAATGTGGAATAAAGACATCCTCATATCCCGTTCCACTTCACACATTGGTGCTAAAGTGTCTGTGTGTGTGTGTGTGTGTGTGTGTGCATGCATGTGTTGTGTGTGTGCAGAGCCAGAAAATATTAGATGATTTTGGGTGTGTGCACAAGTCGAGTCAGAACTCAGGGCTCAAACCTCCCCAGCTAAATTTAGCTCCCCTTCATCTACACTGATTGAAGTGGATTTAACAAGTGACATCAATAAGGGATCATAGCTTTCACCTGGATTCACCTGGTCAGTCTATGTCATGGAAAAATGTTTTGTACACTCAACAGTTTTGGCTGTATGTGTGTGTGTGAGTGTTTATGTGAGTGCATGAGTCTGCATGTGTATGAGGTGTGTGTGTGTGTGTGTGTGTGAGTGAGTGAGTGGGAGTATGTGTGCAAAAAAGTCTCTAAGGTGCAGGACAGAGTACCGGGCAGGTAGCCGGCTAGTGATGGCTGTTCAACAGTCTGATGGCCTGGTGATAGAAGCTGTTTCTCAGTCTCTCTGTCCCGGCTCTAATGCCTCCATACCGTCTCTGTCTGCTAGATGGTACCAGTGTGTACAGACTGTGGCCTGGGTGGCTGAGGTCCTTGATGATCTTCTTGGGCTTCCTTTTGACACTGAGTGCTATAGATGTCCTGGAGGGCAGGCAGCGTCCCCAGATGGTGTGTTGGGCTGACCTTACAACCCTCTGAAGAGCCATGCGGTTGAGGATGGTGTAGTTGCCGTACCAGGCAGTGATGCAGCCCGACAGAATGCTGTCAATGATGCATCTGTAGAAGTTTGTGAGGGTCTTAGGGGTCATGCCGAATTTCTTTAGCCGCCTGAGGTTGAAGAGGCGCTGTTGTGCCTTCTTCACCACGGTGTCGATGTGATGAGACCATTTCAGGTCATCAGTGATGTGCACACCAAGGAACTTGAAGCTTTTGACCCTCTCCGATGTGGTGCTCCCTCCTCTGTCTCCTGTAGTCCATGATCAGCTCCTTGGTTTTGTTGACGTTGGGGAGAGGTTATTGCCCTGGCACATCATCAGGGCCCTCCCTCCCTGTAGGCTGTCTCATCGTTATTGGTAATCAGGCCTACCACTGTTGTGTCGTCAGCAAACTTGATGATTCAGTTGGAGTTGATTCAGTTGGAGTTCATAAATTACCGCCTGGTGTGTGTGCGCGGGCGCGCGCGTGTGTGTGTGAGCGTGCATGTGTGTGCACGTGCTTGTGCATGCATGTGTGTGTGTAACATTACCAAGGGAGTGATGACAGTTTTAATACATTATCTGGGAACACAGTTACTAGAGAGTTAATTCTGCTGCTGCTGACTGTGTGGATATGCTGTCCTGTCATGTTGACATTTGTTAGGGGGATTCTGGGTCAAAGGCAGTCAATGGCTGCGTACCAAATGGCACCATATTCCCTACGTAGTGCACTACTTTTGACTATAACACTGTAGGCGCTGGTCAAAAGTAGTGCACTATATAGGAAATAGGGTGCCATTTGGGATGCAGCCAATGATATCTACTACCACTCGTGTAAGACACTTTTGTAGAGAATTTTCTTCACAGTGGATGCACCATTTTTGTAACGTGAAAGGCTTCTAGGATCTCCAAAGACCCTGGTTGGGGAAACACATTCCTCAATGCTATTTCTATTCTCTGCACCGTTAGTGCATGCATTTTGGCTGCCCAGGGTATCCCATTTAATTTATTGCTGTTGCGTAAGGGCACGTTAGCACAGTTCACATTCTCATTTCACGCTGTTCTTGTCAGACTGCATGAGTGCGGCCTTAGCAAAAGTGCTCAGTCTCCAGTGCACAAGGTGGAAGAGATCTGTACAATGAGACAAGGCAGCAGTATGGGAGGGAACTAAAGATACACAATGGGTATGGGCTTTCTATAGACACACGCCTGGTGAGAGAGATGACCTAGTATGGGGGAGGGGCATGAGTTATCAGAATGGGAGAACGATTACACATTGGGGATAAAGGACAGTTGCATGCTGGTCAGGTTACCTTCTTTGCTCTTGAGCGCGCTGGAGGCGGGGTCGGCGCTGGTTGCCTGGACACAGTACACCTCACGGTTCTGGACTCCGCCCCCGCACAGCCCCGTTAGATTACCACGACGGCGGTCCTGTTGGCTTAGCAACATGTCCACCCTGCACTCGGTCCACTCCGTTGTCTTCCAATTGTACCTGCAGAGGAGAACGAAGGTTGATTGATTTGATTCGATTTTCTACACAACATAGATAGAAAATAATATGTACATTAATTCAATCATCAAGGATGACAAAATTAAGTCATAGTTTGCACCCAAAATGCCACCTTATTCCCTAGTGCACTACTTTCCTATATGGCTCTGGCCAAAAGCAGTTGAACTACAGGAATTGGGTGCCATTTCTGATGCAGCCATTCCCATTGTGGTCCTTATAAAGGAAGATGATGGAGAGAGATATGGTTAGTGATTATGAGTGGCTAGTAGAGCAAGAAAGTGTACATCAATATTAGCCATCTTTTATACCTGTTGTGAATGAAGCACCCTCCAGATTGATTGAGCAGATGCACAACCAAAGCCTGAATGTCCTACAAGGTCACAGCTTGTTAAGCATCATTTAGTTTGATGGCACCTTTGATTGACTGTTTCAAATGTATTATGTATGACACAATAAGATACGCAATAAAAAGATCTGCAGACATAAATAAATGGTTGAATTGGTTTGAATGCTGTTGATGCGTTCTGTTTGTAAATGTCGCCTAGGTTTATTTTCTCCTTTTCGTCTTATTGTGCTCTATTTCTTTCATCAGAGTTATCCTGTGGTAGTACACGTTCCAATGCCTGTTAGATGACAACTAGAGAGTACTTTACATTTACGTCATTTAGCAGACGCTCTTATCCAGAGGGTACAAGACATTGCAATAAACATTGCATTACTCTAATTCAATGAATACATCATTTCGAAGCACAAGCTAAAACTCCTTATTGCATCCCAAATGGCACCCTATTCCCTGTAAAATGTCCTACTTTCAATAGAGACCTATGGGTAGTCCACTACATAGGGAATAGGGTGCCATTTGGGACACAATCATATTTGTATACTTTATTATGGTTAGTAATTCAGACAAATTGCAGCGAGAAGTTGGCAAAATGGTTTTTCGGGAAGTAAACATTAGCATGCATTTGAGTGTGCTCAGTGGACGTTAAGCAATGTGCATCTACTAGAAAGACTATTTTAAAGGAGTTCTCTATGTATTTGACCGTCAACATACACTCACTGGCCAGTTTATTAGGTACACCACCCCGTTCACGAAAATGGATCGCTCCTACAGACAGTGAGTCACATGGCTGTAGCTTGCTATATAAAGCAGGCAGACAGGCATCAAGGCATTCAGTTACTGTTCGATTGAATGTTAGAATGGTTAAAACGAGTGACCCAAATGACTTTGAGCGTGGTATGAATCTGCGTGATACCATCACGTCAGCATGGACCAACATCACTGTGGAATGTTTCCGACATCTTGTAAAATGCCCGAAGAATTCAGGATGTTCTGGAGGCAAGGGGGGGTCCGACCTGGTACTACAGTAGATGGGTGAACCTAATAAACTGGCCGGTGAGAGTATATTCACAGAGTGCCTCACGATCTACAATTCATCTTGAATGTCCCCAAAGAGAACATCATGACCTAAATGTACCTCATTGGACCTCAGTGGAAGGACTCAGCTACATTAAACTGAAACAGATCAACTGTAAAGAGCAGTCTATTAAGACAGATTTGAGCTCAGCACTGAATTCAAAGAAAGCTCTAGGATCTGCTTCAAGAGAACTTGAAAGGTTCCTTAAAGTACTTAGTGAGAATGTTACGTATTGCTTTTCAGTTCAAATCCACCCCGGGGTCACAAAATGGCCGCCCTGCCTCGGTCTCCGTGGCGATAATGGAATTTATTTGAGGTCACCACCAATGAAAGGGCTCCATATTCATGAGTGGAGTGTCTCTTACTGGTCCCTGGCCGATGCCATGGTGAGGTTGTGGGACAACGAGGCACCTAGGAGTTGCGGTCCATAGCTAGGTCTGGGGGTCTGGGACTAACACTGATGGGGACACTCTAAACGAGGAATCCCTCAATAAGACTAACTGAACTTGGACTCCTGCCACAAGGTTCACACCTCTTCATCTCTCTTTTATCCTGGTCTTCTTCAAATGGTAGTAAGGGAGCATTGGTCCACCGACATTGATTTATTCCTTTCATCGTTATCAGGGACAGAAAACAGGCAAATTTTTCCCACAGAACCTATACCCCATGGAAGAAGCCTAGGGACCAAGCTCACAAGCTGTTAACACATGGGTTATGTCCTGATCCGCATACTAACCTTACTCTATACAGTTTAAAAAATATATGGACTGACTGATGTCCTCATGTAAACTCACTGTAACAATTTAGTTTCAACCCAATGTAATAATTTTTGTCATGCAAAATGAACTAGCTAGCAACTGCAGGTCAAAACACTCAAACAGACTAGAGGTGTAAAATGCAGATTGAGGAAATTCCTTTCTCCCCACACCAGGTAGGAGTATAGTTCCACATGGAGTTGTACAGGTTTGGGGGGGGAGTAATTTAAGGACACACACACGCATGCCATCACAGCACATGACTGCATACCGGGTGTGAAAGTGATGGTGTGTCAACACACCCATCTGTGTGTGTGTGTGTGTGTGGCAGGGGGATCAGATTAGACGTCGCGCCAACCGACTGACTCTTTTCTAGACACACTCCATTCATCATTTCCTCCATCACTGGCAATGAGCCAAAGACTGGGCTGTATGTTTCCTCTCCATCTCTCCTGATATGCCCCTCTCTTGTATGGCACCATCGCCCCACACACCCTCTTACCGCCTCCCTCCCATCTCTCCCACCTCTGTATCGCTCCTATTTCTCCCTACATGCCCACCACACCATCACCTAACACACTACCCAACCCCCTCCCCATCTCGCCATCTCTTTCCACATGCCCCCTCACACCGTCGCCCCCACCCTCTCCCCTCTCATCAGCACTACATCATCACCCCACACAATGAAGCTAACCCTACCCCCCCCCCCTCCCTTCTCCCCCTTCAGGCTGTGAATATTAAGCCAGCAGACACCAAACAAGCCACAGCCCAATAGTAGTGGGGTTGTTATTGTGGCTCCTCCCCCTACTGTTAACTCCCCAGTGCTCTTAGTACCACTACTGCTGTTGTGTTGGATGGTTTAGCTACAGTCCTCTGTAGCTCAGCTGGTAGAGCACAGTGCTTGTAATGCCAAGGTAGTGGGTTCGATCCCCGGGACCACCCATACACAAAAAAATAAAAAAATTAATGTATGTATGCACGCATGACTGTAAGTCGCTTTGGATAAAAGTGTCTGCTAAATGGCTTATTATTACAGCAACCAGCCAACGTTCCCGGCCACATGGCCTTAATCACTTAACACAGACTCAAACCACTTACTGTATGCACATACACTTTTAGTGTTAGAGACACACCAGCCCTGTCTGGACAAGTGTCTGATGTATTATCTGCAAGTGTTTATTGTTTTTAGTCAGCAAAGCTATGTAGGGAGACAGACAGGCGGCTTACCCATAGTGCACTTTAGAGAGAGAATAACTGTAACTGTCAGCCAGCCTGCAGAGTAGAAGTTCACTTCAATTGATCATCTGCAATCCTTGATTGGCTGACATTTTGAGGTATTCCAATGTTTTTCGGAGTACCAATGTGAGTTGGCATAATTTTTAGATTGGAAAATTAAGTTATCATCTGATGAGGAAATTCCTTGTACAGCATACAAATAACACAATTGCTATACTGTTCATAAACATAGACATCCATATAAGACATTGAAATCACACATTTTTTAAATGTTGGGTTATAGAGTACTTACACGATGCAGGGGGGTACCCCTTCTCCCTGAGGGGTACAGGGTTCCTTCTCCTCCAGTATGGGGCACTCCGCCCCTCCTCCCACAGGGAACAGATGTACCCGTCGTGTGCGTGTGCGCTCGCCCGTGGGCCCGTTGAGCTCGTAGCAGTCCTTGGAACAGGGCGACCAGTCGGTCCAGTCGCTCACCTCACAGTCCTTGGTCAGGACGCAGGCCTGGTAGGTCACTGGTAGGGACTCCTGAGAACACAGGCTGGAGGGAAGAGACAAGGGGTTCATTAATTACGGTCAAAGGAATCAGTGAAGGTGTTTGGTCGAAGGAATGAGGCAAGGTGTTCTAACAACGTAAAATAAGGCCAAACGTGTTCGCAAAATCCAATACTGGAGCTTCACAGTTAGCTTCAAACCTCTTGAACTCATTCTGAATTTGCAACATACCTTTTCTACAAACCTACATCTGCATTTACATTCTAGTCACTCAGCAGATACTCTCTTCCAAAGCAACAGAAATCTGAGATATGACCCAAATATACGATTATAGATGTACACAGTTTTACAGACAGATAAAAGTCTTTTTTTTCTTTCTTTTTTTTTTGTGGGGGGGGGGGGGGGGGGGGGTAGATCAGCTTAATATTGCAGATAGATTGTAACTTCCATCAATGTAATTGTCTGCATCACTTCCAATCCCCCATGTTTATGTATATACATATATATATATCCACATACACATACACATATACACAAATACACACACACATACATACACACATACATACATACATACATACATACATACACATACATATCCTTTAAAAATATATATATATTCCCCTTTATTACTTTCCAACCCCACCACCCTTTCCCTACTTGGAGTAAACTAGTGATCAACAATGCTCAGGCCTCTACTTCCAGCTTATACCTACTATCTACATTTTATGGTCAATTTTACAATAATTATATTTTGTTTGTTTTTTCTCCTGAACTTCCTCTGCTCTCAACCTCTCCGATCATTTTCATGATGTCCATCCGGTTTGCTTCTATATGCCATATCTTTCTAACTGTGCTCTTTCACAAAAGCTCCCAACCTACAACCTATATACTTATTATGGACACAGTATGCTTACATTATTAGTTGTCTTGTTATTATTTGTTGTTAGTTATTATTAGTCCCATCCTTCAATTCCATTCAACACCTCCCATCTATCTTTTAACACCATCCATTTAGGATTTCTATTTGCCATATATATTTCAACTGTACTGTGATGTCTTACAAAAGTTCTGAACCTTTCTATTCTCATTGTTTCTACAGATTGTGAATTGAAAATAAACATTTTTGCTAAAAGTATTATTATGTTATTGATCGATTGACTATGACTTTTCAGATCACCCAGTAATGCTATCTGCAAGGTTAGCTCCAGGTAAATATTGCAATCCTTTATCCATTCCTGGACCTGTGTCCAAAAACAAGCTACAAATGGACAGTACCAAAACAAATGAACTAATGATTCTGTCTCTTCGCAGCAAAATCTGCAGAGCTGGGAAGATTATATCCCCCATATAAATAACATTCTATTGGTAGCAAGAATTGTATATAATAATTTAAATTGAAAGAATCTAAGTTTGAATCCGGTGTCGTTTTGCGTATCAGTTCATAAACACTATGCCATGGGATCGGTACGTCAAAAATCTCTTCCCAACTATTTTGCAATCTATGTGGGACGGCTGTTAATCCTTTGGTCCTTAAATGAAACTGATATACTTTTTATTTATCACAGTTTTCCTTAACCAATTACGTTCTTTAATGCAAGGCCGACAAACAAGTTCCTTACATTCTCCCCCGTCCACTTTCCTCTTCCATTTTTGCAGTAAGGCTGCAATTATTTGGTTGTAATTTTGGGTAGAGCAGACATTTCCATATGTTTTTGTTAGCTGCATGTGCGACATAACTCCACCAGTCCTACCGATGATATCATTTACGAAGATTATACCTTTTTTTTAACATTTTGTCAAAACAAAAAGGTTTTTTGTCAATTAGTATATTTGAGTTTAACCACAATATTTGTTGCATTATGTTCTGTCATTTCTGGAGGATTCAATTGAAATTCAAACCCACTTCCTATGGCTTGTTTTAGAAATAGTGATATTTAGGAGATTATCTCCTTTTCAAATAACTGAAAGTGAGTGGTTGTAATCTGAATAAAGGGAAAAAGGCCATTCTTGAACATTGGGTGAGACAAACTTACTAATTTGCTAGAGAACCAGTTCGGATTTAAGTATAACTTTTGTATGACTGAAGCTTTTAGTGATAGGTCTAATGCTTTAATATTTAATAATTTCTGTCCTCTGAATTCATATTCGTTATATAAATAGGCCTGTTTAATTTTGTCAGGCTTGCCGTTCCAAATAAAATGGAATCTTTTTTTCTCATATAATTTAAAAAACTGTTCGCTAGGCGTAGGGAAGACCATAAGCAAATAGGTAAACTGGGATAATACTAAAGAGTTAATCAGGGTGATTTTTCCACAAATTGACAGGTATTTACCTTTCCATGGTAGCAAGATCTTATCTATTTTTGCTAACTTTCTATAAAAATGTATTGAAGTGAGATCATTTATTTCCTTTGGGATATGTATTCTGAGTATATCCACATCACCATCAGACCATTTTATTGGTAAACTACATGGTAATGTAACATTTTAACTTCTTAGTGATCCAATACGTAATATAGTACATTTGTCATAATTTGGTTGTAATCCAGAGAGGTTAGAAAATGTATCTAGATCCTCTATGAGGCTGTGGAGGGATTCTAGTTGTGGATTTAAAAGAAAACATGAATCATCAGCGTACAATGACACCTTTGTTTTTAAGCACTGGATTTCTATCCCCTGATATTATTGTTGGATCTGTTTTTAATAGCTAACATCTCGATGGCCACAATAAATAGATATGCCGATAGTGGACAACCTTGTTTCACTCCTCTTGACAGTTTAAAACTTTCTGAGAAATAGCCATTATTGACAATTTTACACCTACGACAGATACAAGTCTTAATGCTGATTGCTCTGTTCTAATTTTAGTGTTTTTCACTAAATGTTAATTTCCTTTTCAATTAAGGTATAAACAAATATTAAAAGAGAAACCAATTGTTCATGATCTGCTTTTTATGTGAAATGAGCTAGGGATAATTGCCTTTAAAACAACTCAAAACATTTAGGTTAAACTCCCCGAAAGTTTCTCAAACGAAACTCGACTTAATGCAAATACTGTCCTACATAATCATCATATTAAAGGCATACCAGGCGTTATGATACAGTATTTTATAACACTCATTGAAATTGGTGACATGTGCATGACATTAATAAATAATGACCAATGTTAAATGAAGTGAGATGAAATATATTTCAAGATATATAGCTTCTATAACAGTAAACACACATGACCCTGAGCCCCTGCCATTTGGTACATTGTCAGTATCATATCAGATAAGCCTCTTTGGGAGCTTCAGTTCAGCCATCTGTGGTGGATTCTATAAGTAGCTCCTAAAAAAACTAAAATACCTCCACATTATTCCTCACTTTAAAGGAGGAATATTCACATATTCTCAACATTAATCCTAGGATAGGCCTAGATCATAGAGATATAATTTTTGCTACTTGAAGATATGGGAATATGATAAAAGTGGTTTCCCATAATTTCAATTATCTATGATTTTCTCTGACCATCTCCCTATGCACGACCATTTAATGTTTCTTTCAAAAAGAAGGTGCCTTGGTGAGGCCGTAGGGTATGATGCAGTATTCATAGTGGCCTGAGGTAGTGCTGAATGCCATCTTCCACTCGTCTACTTCCCGGATTCAGATCAGGTTGTAGGCACTCCCCAGGTCCGACTTGGTAAAGTACCGGGCCCCATCGTAGCTGCTCGATGGCCGACGGAACCAGAGGGAGGGGGTACAGGTACTTGGTGGTGACTGCGTTCAGCCCCCTGTAGTCAATGCACAGCATCAGTCCTCCGTCTTTTTTGGCCACGAAGAAGAAGCTGGCGGAGGCAGGAGAGGTAGAGCGTCTGATGAACTCCATTGCCTCAGATAAGGGGATAAATGTGACTCTTGTGCCTTGGAAAGGGGATAAATGTGACTCTTCGGGGGGTGTTGTCCCTCCAGCAGGTCAATGGCACAGTCCCAGGGCCTGTGAGGAGGGAGACACCTAGCCTTTGATGAAGAGAAGACATTGGAGAGATCTGCATACTCACGTGGAATGTTGGGCTGGAGGGCGGACTCCGGACTCTCCACTGACATGGAACAACAAACCACCGGCAGGCAGGTCGTCCGGCATGAGGTGGACCAGGCTGTGATCCTCTTGGTGATCCAATTGATGGTGGGGTTGTGTAGTCTGAGTCAGGGTAATCCCAAGACCATCCGGTGAAGGGGTGACGTGACGATGTGGAATGACAGCTCTTTGTGGTGCTCCGGTAGTGTGGGAATGGTGATGATGATGGGGAGAGTGACGTGCGTAATGGTGCCTGATCCAAGTGTTTTTTTGTCCAACGAGGTGACGTGTAGCGGAGAAGGCAGTGGCACAGTGGGCAACCCCCACTCAGGCTGGGCAAGCTGCTTCTGGTGCTGTTCGAGGCACTAGGAAACCAGGAGGATTACCTGCTGCATCTATTTTCGTGAGAGGTGTGTAATTCTGTGAGGAGTACTGAGGATACGAAGAGGCAGGACGCAGACGCAGGAATCAACAAGGTGAAGGTTTACTTAACAATGAGATAGAGAATAACAAAGAGTGAGTAAACGACACTCACGCTAACAATTACACACAACAATGACTGAACAGGGCTATATAGTGGTGCTGATGGGATGATGAGGTGCAGGTGCGCTGGAGGTGATTAGGGTGTGTAGGGTTTCCATTCCTGTGTTGCCGAGGTGGTGCGCTCAGACCGGTGGCTCAGTAGACCGGCGAATCAGAGCGCCGGAGGGGAGCAATGGGAGGAGACGTGACAAAGAGAGTGGGATTTATATATTCAGTGTTGAGTGACCTCCATAACAGCCACCCCGATCCTCAGAGACAGAATGGGGAGATATATGCATTTCACATAGCAACAAAGAGGGACATCGCCTTTTAGAAAGCACGTGTACATGAGTGGAGATGAATGGAGACCATTCAATAAAACATGCCTTGAAAACTTCTACCACCACCACCACCACCCAAACATCCTCCAACTATAGCCTACAGTCCAGCTTCAGCTAATTCCGTAATATTAATTCATGACCATGCTATGTGGACGCAGTAAGATGGCCACCCATAGAGATGGACATGATGCAAGATGTTGGATAATGGAAAGGGACAGCGGTTTGATCCTCTGACCTTTTCATAGATGTTATGGTTGAGGCCTCTCGTCGTCTGATGGATCCCAGTGAGGAGAATGCAAGAAAGCCATGACACTTCTACTCATTATCCAATTAACTCTTACAGTTGATCTGACCAAATAAATAATGCTCAATAATGGTTCTCTGAGAATATTACATTATCTTGAGGTGCAAAAACAAGGATGCCGTTTATCATCGTATCTATTTATTAATATTTGCTATAAATGAATCGCTGAATATCACAATGCTTTCAGTTGGAGGTTATGGTAACTCTGAAGCTTTGAAACTAACTTCACTCTGTAGAAAAGTATGAACTTCCGTTGTTTCTTTGGAAGACGAGGAGTTATTCGGTTAAACAGAGAATAAATGTTAATAAAAATACAAAACAAAAACATTGCAGGTTCCATTGACTGAACCCTCACATCAGATGAGATGTTTAGGAAAAGAGGTTGCAAAAAAAGTCATAAATATTTTAAATGCAGAGTAAACAAGTCATTAGAGTAATATTAATAAGCTGCAGCACTAATGTGGAGTAATATTAATGTGAGTTCCTCTCATAATAATTTTTTTCCTCCAAAGGCAGCATGTTTGCCAATACTATAAAGCTTGTGCCAGCATAAATAAATAATTTGAGGGTACATTGAATAAACTAATGAGAGAAGACATGAGGACAGAAGAAGAAGAATGCAGACTGTGACTACTATCATCACTCTAAGGCATGGCCTACTAAAACCAACCCTTATGTAATATTCTACAACAACACACTATGGCCATACATTTTCTAGAAGGCAGATAGTTGATGTGCCCTTCCCCATCCATGCCCTAGACAGCCGCCCTTTGGGGTCGGGATTGATTAGGGAGGTCACAGCGCCACTTAAGATGAAGACGCAGGGGGGTCATGAGGAGATTATACAGTTGTATTTGATTGACTCTCCTGCGTTTCCCGTGGTGTTGGGGCTTCCCTGGTTAATATCTCATGACCCGAACATTTCATGGCAACAGAGGGCTCTCAAGGGATGGTCTGATCAGTGTGTCGGGCGATGTATAGGTGTTTCCGTAGGGGCAACGACGGTGGAAAGTCCGAACCAAATGCCTGCAATGCACATTCCTCCTGAGTATGCAGATTTGGCACTCGCCTTCTGTAAGAAGAAGGCGACTCAATTACCACCTCATAGACAGGGGGATTGTGCGATAGACCTCCAGGTAGGCGCTGCACTTCCTCGTAGTCATGTGTATCCTCTGTCTCAGGAGCGTAAACTCCCTGCCTATGAGGTGGTAAGGCAGACGCCCTGTCCCGGCTATATGACACAGAGGAGAGGTCCATTGAGCCCACTCCCATACTTCCAGAGTCTTGTCTAGTGGCACCGGTGGTGTGGGAGGTCGATGCGGAAATCGAGCGGGCGTTACATACCGACCCTACTCCCCCAGAGTGTCCAGAGGGGCGGAGGTACGTGCCGCTCGAGGTCCGTGATCGACTGATATATTGGGCTCACACGTCACCCTCCTCTGGTCATCCGGGTATTGGTCGAACGGTGCACTGCCTTAGTGGGAAGTACTGGTGGCCCACCTTGGCTAAGGACGTGAGGGTTTACGTTTCTTCCTGCTCGGTGTGCGCTCAGTGTAAGGCACCAAGACACCTGCCCAGAGGGAAGTTACAACCTCTACCCGTTCCACAACGGCCGTGGTCTCACCTATCGGTGGATTTTGTCACGGACCTTCCCCCCTCCCAGGGGAATACCACGATCCTGGTCGTTGTGGATCGGTTTTCTAAGGCCTGCCGTCTCATTCCGATGCCAGGTCTCCCTACAGCCCTACAAACGGCCGATGCCCTGTTTACTCACGTCTTCCGGCACTACGGGGTGCCTGAGGATATAGTATCTGATCGGGGTCCCCAGTTCACCTCTAGAGTCTGGAGCGCGTTTATGGAACGTTTGGGGGTCTCGATTAGCCTTACCTCGGGTTTTCACCCTGAGAGTAATGGGCAGGTGGAGAGAGTAAACCAGGATGTGGGTAGGTTTCTGAGGTCCTATTGCCAGGACCGGCAGGAGGAGTGGTCGGGTTATATCCCCTGGGCAGAGATAGCCCAAAACTCACTTCGCCACTCCTCCACTAATCTTACGCCTTTTCAGTGTGTGTTTGGGTTATCATCCGGTCCTGGCACCCTGGCATCAGAGCCGATCGAGGCTCCTGCGGTGGATGAGTGGTTTCGGCGCTCGGAGGAAACATGGAACGCTGCGCATGTCCATCTGCAGCGGGCTATCATAAGGCAAAGCCGAGCGCCCGATCGCCACCCGCAGTGAGGGTCCGGTTTATGCACCGGGAAGATCAGTGTCTGGCTCTCGGACCCGAAACCAGCCCCTTTCGCCTGCCCTGGCCGGAAGCTGGGTTCGGCGGTTTGACCAAAATTCTGGCATTGACAACCCTGTCCCTTGTCTGCCCTGCCGTGAAGCTGGTCTCGGGATGGATAGGGGGCCCCCACTAAAGTCCTGAGGGCTTCGACGAGTCATCGTTATCGGATTCAGTGTCGATGGGGGGTTTGCAGTACCTCGTTGCATGTGTCTCCAGGACGGTGGGTATAGAGCTAGTCCCTCCGGATGAGGGATACGAGTAGGCTCCTCTCGCGCCTCCTGCGTCCGAAGGGGGGCTCCGGCGTACTCAGTCCGTCCATCGTGGATTGCAGGTGTCGGTGGGGGGTTTGCAGATTCTGCCGAGGTGCTTACGTTCCGGGCAGGTGCTGGGTCCCCCCGGAGTACTAGCTGCTGCCGATCGATGTTTCAGTGTTTGTCTTGTTCAGTCTTGAGTGTTTACACCTGTTTGCTATTATGTTTGATTGTTGCCACTATATTTACCCCTGTCTCTCGTTTGGTAAATTGTGTGTTATTGTTTTTGTTTCCCATAAGGTCGGCATTGCTGTGTCGTATGCGTGTATTTGTTTTCCTGCTCTGTTAGGAGGTTTTGTTTTGTATGTTCTTTTTACTGGTTAGGTAAAGTATGTCTGCCAGTAGCTCTGTGTCCTGCGCTTGACTTCACTCACCGCATACATTTACATTACATTTACACGTCACCGTTGACAATGGAACAAGGCACTAAAGTAATACTGCAAAAAAACACAGCAAATGAATACACTTTTTGGCCTAAATCCTCAGCCTTATGTTTGAGGCAAATCCAACACAATACATAACTAAGTAACTGCCTCCTTATTTTCAAGCATGGTCATGGCTGCATCATGGTATGGGTATGCTTGACATCAATTTATTCAGGATGAAAAGGGATGGAGCTAAATCAGGCAAAATCGTAGGGGAAAACCTGCTTCAGTCTGTTTTACACCAGACACTGGGAGAGGAATTCACCTTTCAGCAGGACAATAACCTACAACACAAGCCCAAATCTACACTGGAGTTGCTTACCAAGAAGACAGTGAATGTTCCTGAGTGGCCAAGTTAGTTTTGACTTAAATCTGCTTGAAAATCTATGGCAAGACTTGAACATTTCTGTCTAGCAATGATCCACAACACCTTGACAGAGTTTGAAGAATTTCGAAAATAATAATGTGCAAATATTGCACAATACAGGAGTGTAAAGCTCTTATGAGACTTACCCAAGAAGATTCACAACTGTAATCGCTGCCAAAGGTGTTTCTAACATGTATCGACTCAGGGGGGTGAAAACGTATCGAATCAAGGTATATTATTGTTTTATTTTTCATGAATCGTAAAAATACAATAAAAAATCATCCACTTAGACAGACTATTTGTGTAGATCATTCACAACAAAACGACAATCACATCAATTTTAATCCCACTTTGTAACACAATAATATGTAAAGAAATCCAATGAGGGTGTAGACTTTCTATAGGCACTGTAAGAGAGACTTTAAATTATAAGTGCGACTTACCTGAGTGCATCAGGGTTGCCGCTCCTGTGAACACAGGTCACCTCCCTGGTCTGGTATCCAACCTGCAGGTCCCAAAACTTCCCTCCCTGTCGGTTCTGTCTGTTCCTGTTCCTCTTATTTTTGATCAGCTCCTTGGTCTCTGGGTCTTTCACCCTCCCCCTCGCCCTCGCCCGCTCTCTCACCCGCTCCTTGACTCTTTCCTTGTTCTTCCTGCGTCCTTCTTTGGCTGCCTGTCTGCCTTTTCTCCCCTCCTTTCTTTTCATCCTTTCTTCTTTGCTCAGACGAGGCTGGCGTGGGGTGGGCACCTCGCTGCCCTCTTTGGCCTCTTTACCCTTTTTACCCTCTCTGCCCTTGCGAAGCCGGCGAGGGACAGCCACATCTTTACCCTGACTAAGGGTGGGAGTCTGCCTGGCCATGCGAGGGAGGGGTACAGAGCAGGGACCCCAGGATCCCACCCTTAGACTATAGAGGCTCTCTGGGCCCGCGCAGGGACCTGGCTGACACGTCTGGAACTCTGTCAGATTAGGGCAGGCCGAGCCCCCGAACATGGGCGGCGCCAGGACAAAACGTACACGATTCTGAAGACCCGTGCCGCACGTTTTCGAACAGGAAGTCCATGGGGTGAACTGGGAGACCACGCAGTCCCGCGGGCATGGGATCAGACAGGCCTGCTCCAGCCTGGGCTTGGGCTCAAAGTATTCACAAATCGCCACATCCTCCGCGGGCACACCATCCACTTTCTGGACGCAGCCAACCTCGCGTGTCTGGATTCCCTCCTCGCCGTGGGTACACACGGCCGGCCGCTGGACTGCCCCGGTGCTCCGCATGGACACAGGCACGCACTGGTTCCAGGCGCCCAGCTGCCAGTCGTACAGGTCCTTGTGCCAGTCACACACGCGGAAGCAGCTCTGCTGGTTCTCCGGGCGCTCGGCCTGGTCACAGTTGGTGTGCAGGGTGGTCCAGCCTTCAGAGTGGGCACACCACACCGCCCGGCTTTGGCTGCCCCCTGGGCCACACTCGCTGCCCATACACCGGCCCCATGGACCTGGGGAAACAGAGACAGAGAGGACACAGGGAGTTCAACTGAAGGATGTACTATCAGAGCAGTTAGTCAGAATATTATCCAAATGGAAAGCATACTGTGGAGGGAACTCAGCTCCTATCTGTCAGATTTGACTGTACAACCGTGAATCACTACAAGACTGTGTAAAAGTCCTTCTAACATTCCGTCTAAATGTTGCCATTCAAGACTTTGACTTTGATCAAAAGTCAGAGGGCAGTTTATAAGGAATTTGCATAATCTCTCCACATGACTTTCCTATTAATCAAAGCACCTTGAAAGCCCAGAAGACCAAGCTCTCTAGTGCTGCTATACCAGAGGACTATTAGTCAGAGTTTCTAAAGCGCTTCTAAGGACAACAGAACTGTAATGTGTTTACACATCCAACACAAACAACCAAAGTGCCTCGGAAGAATAACTACTTCCTGATAAATAACGCACACCACACACACTCCGCCAAATCACTCCGCCAAGCGCAATTAAATCACTCCGCCAAGTGCAATTTTCTGATACACTTCCTTCCTCTAGGATTAATGAGAATGCAATTAAAGGTCAACGTAAACATCCCCTTAGAGCATAAAACGGCAAGTAGGTACATGACAGGCAGACAGAGAGCCCAGAGCACAGAGCCCAGAGCCCAGAGCCCAGAGCCAGGGCAGCATTACCAACTCTGACTGGATCAATATTCTCAGGAAATGTATGAGATGGAAGGTACAGTGGGGAGGGATGTCATTGAGGAATAACCTAACCTGGCTTACCCTAGCATAAACAGTCAATCAATACATCTATCAATTCTGCATGAAGGATAAGCAGGACTTGAAATAATGGTACAATCAGCCCATGACATCACCAGCACTGAAGTGATTGTGTTTGGTCCCGTGTAGCTCAGTTTGTAGAGCATGGCGCTTGCAACGCCAGGGTTGTGGGTTTGTTTCCCACGGGGGGCCAGAATGAAATGAAAAAAATGTATGCACTCACTAACTGTAAGTCGCTCTGGATAACAGCGTCTGCTAAATGACTAAAATGTCAAATGTAAATGTTTGAGGTGCTGAAAGGACAGCTCCGCCAATCTCCGGCTGGATAGGATTCACAGCAATGTGGACCCATCTTGTGGTGCTGAAGGACAGCCCTGCTATTCTATCAGTGAGGATTACCAGTGGGGAGGAGGGCCCTCCGCTAGTTTATTTGAGCTCTGTTTTATGCTGTTGGATTGAGCAGCTTGAAGTGCTACTGCTGACTTGGGCTGCCAGCCTCTCTCTGTGAGCTGAGGCAGGGAGGGAGAGCCTATGTAGCTTACTGTGTGAGAGGGCAACCTGCTCAGATGAATCTGTATTACAGAAGTGGGTCAGAGTCAGAGGAATCCTCTTCCTAGCTCAACAAACAACCACGGGCTCTCCCATCCACCCCCTTTCTTTCCCCAACATCTCCCCACCTCTCCCCCGCCTCTCCCCCCGCCTCTCTGGTGTCCAAGTGATCTATCTAAGCAGAGCCAGGGAGGAGTGCCGACTGTCGGAACAAGGACACAGCCTGTGGGTTTACTGTCTGCTGGTTCCAGATCAGTTATTGCTGTGTAACAAGGCATAACATCAACCAGAGGAGTAGGCATAACAGATCTGAGACCAGGCAAGGGTGGGTGTAGCCTACAGTGGGAGGAATCACAAAGGAGGCAAAGCTAAGAGCTGAAGGCTGAAGGAGTAAACCTGGGTTTGTCATTTGGGAGTCTTAAGGGTCAGATAACTTCCAGATGACATGAGTAATAATTTCCCCCAAGAGATTCATTCATTTTCCATATATGTGTATGTCTGCATGTTGTGCTGTATGCCCGATTGAACGCATATGGTAAAGTACTACTGATGGACTGCCTGAGGTTCAGCACAGGGGAACTCTCCGTGAATGAAAAGCTTCAAGGTAAAGCACAGGGGAACTTTCCGTGAATGAAAAGAAGTAAGGTTCAGCACAGGAGAACACTCCGTGAATGAAAAGCTTAAATTGCTGCACAATCCCCTTGACTGGCTACCTGAAAAGCAGATGCAAGCAAGCATCTGTTCCCCCTGCTATGCTACAAGACTGTTTCCTACAATAACACAGTTCCAATGTAGGCCACTATATCTGCCTGACATAGAATAGATTAGCCTGGGATGTGTGATTCATGACCAGCAGGGCCGGAAGGATAGAAGAGAGGAGAGGAGAGGAGAGGAGAGGAGAGGAGAGGAGAGGAGAGGAGAGGAGAGGAGAGGAGAGGAGAGGAGAGGAGAGGGAGAGCAGTCCGAGAACTGAGGATGGAGGACAGGGGCTGTTTTAAGCAGTGATTTATGTCTTGACTCCGCAAAGCAGAGCCATGGTGATGAAAAAGTCAGCAGAAGGAGCAGCCCTGAATTAGCAGCAGAGAGAGAGGCCCGGTCGATACGGATCAATAATTCCTCGCGAGAAACTGCCTCCGACACAAGAGACAGCCCTGCCGCTCCCACTGAGACACACACACAAACAAACACACGCATAAACACAGACACATAGACACATAGATATAATATATACATAGACACATAGGACACTATATAATAACCATAGACACATAGACACATAGATACATAGACACATAGACACATAGATACATAGACACATAGACACATAGACACATAGATACATAGATACATACAATATAGACCCTAAACACACAGTCACAAGACACATAAGACCATAGACACATAGACACAATAGACACATAGATCATAGACACATGACACATAGACACATAGTACATAAAGACACATAGAATATAGATACTAGACACATAATCATAGACACATAGATACATAGACACTAGACACATCGACACTAGACCCCATAGACACATAGATACCTAGATACCATAACACATATAGACACAAAGACACAAGATACATAGACACATAGACACAATAGATACATAGATACATAACACTAGACACAATAGACACATAGATACTGACACATAGACACATAGATACACAAGAACATAGACACATAGACACAGACACATAGATACATAGACACATATACAACAGACATAATACATGAACATAGAACATAGACACATAGATACTGATAGATACATAGACACAGACAGATAGATACACATAGATACATAGACACATAGACCACATATACATCAGATACATACAGACATAGACACATAGAACCATAGATACATAGACAACAGACACATAGACACATAGATACATAGACACATAGATACATAGACCAACAATAGATACATAGATACATAGCAAAAGACATAGAACAGACACATAGATAATCGACAACATAAACATAGATACAACAAGATTACAATATAGACAGACAGACACATAGAACAACATAGATACATAGACACGACAGATACAGATACATAATAGACATAGACACATAGAACATAGACACATAGATACATAGAAGACTAGATACATAGAACATAGATACATAGATACTACTGATATACATAGACACAGACAATAGTACATAGATACATAGATAAGACACATAAACATAGATACGAGATACAGAACATAGAACAGACACATAGACACATAGACAATAGAACATAGATCAAGACAATAGATACATAGAACTAGAACGACAATAGATACATAGATACATAGATACATAGATACATAGATACAGACATAGAACATAGAACATATAACATAGAAATAAACACATAGAACATAGAACAACATAACACATAGCAACATATACATAGACATAGAACAGACACATAGATACATAGTACATAGATAGACCAAAGAACAAGAACATGACACTAGACATAGAATAGTACATAGATAATAGAAGACAATAGATACATAAACAATATACAACAAAATACAGAACATGAACAAGACATATTACATGAACAAGACACAGACAATAGACTAGGGAAAAAAGTATTTGATCCCCTACTGATTTTGTACGTTTGCCCACTGACAAAGACATAATCAGTCTATAATTTTAATGGTAGGTTTATTTGAACAGCGAGAGACAGAATAACAACAAAAAAATCCAGAAAAACGCATGTCAAAAATGTTATAAATTGATTTGCATTTTAATGAGGGAAATAAGTATTTGACCCCTCTGCAAAACACGACTTAGTACTTGGTGGCAAAACCCTTGTTGGCAATCACAGAGGTCAGACATTTCTTGTAGTTGGCCACCAGGTTTGCACACATCTCAGGAGGGATTTTGTCCCACTCCTCTTTGCAGATCTTCTCCAAGTCATTAAGGTTTCGAGGCTGACGTTTGGCAACTCGAACCTTCAGCTCCCTCCACAGATTTTCTATGGGATTAAGGTCTGGAGACTGGCTAGGCCACTCCAGGACCTTAATGTGCTTCTTCTTGAGCCACTCCTTTGTTGCCCTGGCCGTGTGTTTTGGGTCATTGTCAATCTGGAATACCCATCCACAACCCATTTTCAATGCCCTGGCTGAGGGAAGGAAGTTTCTCACCCAAGATTTGACTGTACATGGCCACGTCCTTCGTCCCTTTGATGCAGTGAAGTTGTCCTGTCCCCTTAGCAGAAAAACACACCCCAAAGCATAATGTTTCCACCTCCATGTTTGACGGTGGGGATGGTGTTCTTGGGGTCCTAGGCAGCATTCCTCCTTCTCCAAACACGGCGAGTTGAGTTGATGCCAAAGAGCTCTATTTTGGTCTCATCTGACCACAACACTTTCACCCAGTTCTCCTCTGAATCATTCAGATGTTCATTGGCAAACTTCAGACGGGCCTGTATATATGCTTTCTTGAGCAGGGGGACCTTGCGGGCGCTGCAGGATTTCAGTCCTTCACGGCGTAGTGTGTTACCAATTGTTTTCTTGGTGACTATGGTCCCAGCTGCCTTGAGATCATTGACAAGATCCTCCCGTGTAGTTCTGGGCTGATTCCTCACCGTTCTCATGATCATTGCAACTCCACGAGGTGAGATCTTGCATGGAGCCCCAGGCCGAGGG